CAGTGTTTTCCTGTTTGTTGGTGTGTTTGAATGATTGGATTTCTCACTGTGATGTCTGGGGAAACATCACACTGACTGTTTGATTAAATAACAATTATGAAATAGATTTGCGTCTGCTTGTGTGTTACTGAACTCCATGCTTGGATGTTTTTTTCATTCCGTGTCTAAAAGGCAAAATTGGTAAATAGTTTTCAAATCCAGCAGACAAATATTAGGATTTCTCCGTTTTTTTTCACGTGATAGTAAGATAATATTTTTTTGGATTGGAGCACACTGGTAGGATTAAAAAGTAAGTACAATTGGATCTCTTGGAGGTTGGGATTTTATGTTTCACTGCGATTGATTATTAATCAAGAGGGCTATTGAAATAATCAAAAGTTGAAGGCCTAATTTTACACATGTGTCACTTAGGCAACCAGACAGTCCCAACTTACAGCCATCATGTCTGGTAGGGATGGTACTCTGAATGTTGGAGCACAACCTGTTGTGTTTTATGACCTCCATGACTTACTGTACATAGACAGTAAAGTAAGGTTTGCATGTTAAACTCTGTCCTCCTATGGATCAATGTCTCACTACACGACATTGAAATATTGAGCTAGAAATATTTTTTGGGACCAAGGGGCAACCTTCAGTGTTGAGAAATGAAGCAAATGCAGGAGTACAAAAACCTGCAGTTCCTGTAGTGGCCACTTGAGGCTGGCTGCAGAAGCCAGTCCCATACACACCCATTCAAATTGATAATTGATTTTTTCCTTTTCTTAGATATGCCTTATGTTGCATGTAGACAAAGACAGGAACCTCAAGATCACTTTGTGGCCAAAACCTAATTTATGTGTCAGTTTGAAGTGAGCTCTGAAGGGTCTCGTGTTTACCACTTAATCCCGAACATATTTCATGCGTTACCTGTTGTGGCAGGCTGCCTCTCAGTGATAAAATGTCTAAAAAAAATTAGCAACCACCATGTTTCACTCATCCTCCCTCTACTCTCATCAACGACCTCTTCCTCCTCTCCTGCTTGATGTGATCCTGGTTTCGCTCTGAGGAATTTGGCAGCGCCGTCATCTCGCCCTCACTTGAACCAACTTCCCTCCTGGTTTCGCCTCAGCAGCTCTGTCTGTTTGTGTCAACAGTTTGTGCTCCAGAATCTTTCCCCAGAACAGCATCATGTCCAGGGTTTAAAGAGCTGAGAGCAGAGAGATGATGACTTCTCTGGCTGTGTGTAAACCCAGCTTTTAATGTATTATTTACTTCTGCTTCAGCGTCATAAGGACATGTTTGTGTGATGCATGCATGCATGTTTCTCATATGTGCATGCATGTTTGCATGTGCAGCCATGTGAAGTGGCACGGGAAATGCACAAGTGCAGGGTCAGTCTTCTCTCAATACTCAAGAGCGTGTTGCTGTTGGAAATCTGGACATGGTACATCATATTGACTCCCTGCTAAATTGCTTGGTTTAATGTGGCAGTTTGGGCCATGATGAAAGCAGCCAGTAGTGCTGCCTCTTCAAGTGTTTGCACATTGAAATGTTCCGTAAGTACATATTCAGTCTGATGCGTAATCAACAAAAGGAAAGAACAGCTCAATCTCACTCACTGCATTTTCCTTTTGAGTTTCTTGAAACTGTTTTTGGACCGTAAAGAAGCTTTGTCAGTGTGTTCAAGTGAACTGTTGCTAAAGCATTTCAGGTGATACTGTCAGTCCTTTTTGATTACTGATGATGAATAGTGAAGAATGCCACATATCTGGTAGTCCAACATGGAAGTAAGCATCGCCCTAGTTTCACCTCTATTGCCAAAAAAAAGTCCATAATATATCCATGTTCTGCTCAGAAAGACAACCTTTACAAATGCACCCCAAGTTTAAAATTTTGCAATTGCCATTACACCAAAATCTACATCAGGCTACAAAAAACAAAAACAATTAAACCCTCATACATGACTTAGCTTCAAACTTGTCAGAGTTGGACTTTGCCGAGGTTGCAACCACATTTAAAAAAAAAGACATTAAAGCTTTAAAAACTTGGAACTTATAATAATCTAACAAAATATAATACAGCTTTTATAGCTGTATTTTATTTAAGGTTCTGCATCATAAATATAAGTGCAGTCTAAACAATGCTCCTGTAATCAGTCCTTAACAAACCTTCCCTGAAAGGTTTCAATTCAGCGTCTGCAGCTTTTCATAAACTCCTGACGCTTTGAGCCCAAGCAGAAAGATAATATGAGTCAGAAGAGGTGAGGAGAAGAGCAAAGGAGAGTTCGGTGTTTGTGTCTCAGCTTAAGTTTTTCATGCATCTGTGCTTTTCTGCCTTTCTGCACCAACACAAGGCTGTGAGATGAACCTTAAGGGTGGAATAAAAGCAGGCATGCAAACACACACACACACACACACACACACATTCACTGACATGCAGAAAGCCTGAGGGGCCGAACAGATTTTACACCAAGACTCTTCGTGCAACGGGCTGCATTGAGTCGCTTAGGATGCTCATGACTCTGAGAGGAAAGCCCTGCCATTTTATTTTGCCCATGACTCCCAGGAGGGGGAGCACAGCCACGGAGACAATGACACAGTGTGACAGAGATGGTTTCCAATAAATGTGAGAAGCATCGAGCTCTCTGTCCAGAGACTTGGAGGGAAGAAAGTGAGGCAGACGGCTGATAAAGTCATAAAAAGAAAGTAATAGAGACTGGGAGATGGTATCCTCTCTGAAGCAGCCTGAGTCCCTGGTTGCTGTGTCCACTCAGCAAGTTCCTTTAAAGATAAACCCAATGTTCCCCGACATTAGAAAGCTGAAAAGAACGAGTTATCATGCAGGATGGAGGATAGAGACCCAGGAGATCAGCGTCAGGACACGAGGGCATGACCATGACGCCATCTGTTTCTTTTTTTTTTTGTTTCTTTTATGTCTCAAGAAAAGCCTCCAGGAAAGGCCAGAGGATAAGAGCTAAAAATAGCGAGCTTACCAAAATGAGAACATGCCAATTAGACTTTTCCGGGACCCTCGCACCAGTGACTCACTCCCCTGTCACCACACCCAAAAGCTCCCAGCGGCTCGCCCCTCTTTCACACACAGACTTCCTCTCTACGTCTCCCTGCTGCCATGTCACTCTCTGTCTTCTTCTGCCGCTACGCTGTTTGCTCGATTAAATGTTTTATGTGGGACAAAAAAAAGGCACTTCTCCGTAATGTGGGCCCACTTACTCAGTCAGTGGCCTGTATAATTACACACACAGCCGTTCTGACACATTTCAGCGTGATGGATGCGATGCTGGTGGAGGTTCACCCACCCTCATTTGCAGGGCTTTAATTACAGCCATGTTTGTTTTGTGGTGACTGTGGAAATTAGCTAACCTCAGAGAAAAATATGAACCAATCCAACGACAGAAACTTGACAGATCCTGTTATTGTACAATGAATGCATGGATATGTGGTTTACATTTTGTCTTTAATATGCATTCAGACAAAGCAAGTGAAAAAGCAAAACTTTAGAAACATTTTAAAGCAAATCTTATTCAACTTAAATCACAGAATAGATTTAGAGGGAACTTTTGAATCTACATTCTTCTGTTAAAATCAAAATGATTTAAGATTAAAATATGGATAAATGCAAATCAAAAACTTGTGTTTCCAAATCCAAAGTTGTACTTTTTTAAAACAACATATGATAACATCTGTGTAGTTTTCAGTCATCCAGTGTCGGTGTCATCTTTGAACTGTTGCCGTGGATGTTATACCAACGTGTCACTCCCATTGAGACTAGCTAATAGCCAATAGCTACATGATGTTGGTCACACCCACAAGATTCGGCCTCAACAACAAGCAAAACCTTCAGAACTTCAAACAACAAATTTCAATACAGCTTTGCATAAACAAAATGCAAGTTTTAGACACATACAATATTTGTTTTGCAATGCAAATTTACTGATAATTGCTCTTAATTCTGCTCTTGTTGTAAATATGTAAACATATTCTGTCTGATACATAATTCATGTGAAACAAATGACACAAACATGACCTCTTACATTGGCTGTATTATGATTTTTGATGATACTTTGATGAAAGTAAGATTCCTTTGAATTTTATCAGAGCATCAGTCCCTCTATGCTTGTTATCTTGATTTCTTTACCCAGCCTCAGTGCCAGATTTCCGTCCAAGAACAACAGTTGCTCAGTTACAGCGCTCCTGGCAGCGCACGATCACTGTACGCTGTGTTTTGTGCTTTAATCACATCTGAAGACTGAAACGGGGGGTTACTGGGAAACCTTCCCGGATGACAAGATGGAGAGAACTGACACTAAGCATAAAAACACTCCAACCTGACACATTCCCACGTACTGATAACAGCCTGACATTTCCATCTGGGTGCTTCTTTCCTTCTTTCTTTTACTCTGATCCACTAATGATACAATGGTTATTATGCAGATTATTCATAGTTTGATTTGAATATAACTTATCCATCCCATACTTAGAAAACTACTGTGAAATGCAGTTTAGTGTGCCAATGAGGCAAATCCAAATGGGATGTGTTTGAATGTTTTTTTGCAATTACTTATTATCTGAATCCCTGATGGAGACATTACGCAGATGAGTGATGAACTGATGTTGTATGAAAGAAACATTTATGAATCCTGATGTTTTTGAAGTTATGATGAAAACATGAAACATTATGATGAAACATTTTCCTCTTTTTCTTTTCTAAAAGTTAAGCCCCAATAGATTCCTTTAAACCTCGTACTATGCCTCCTAAATATTCATACGAGAGCTTTGTGACCTGAAGAAGTATTTTTAAGTCTGTCCAGCAAAAAAAAGGCCCTCAGTGAAGTCTCACCAGCAGCAGGAAAAAAGTCTTTAGCTTTACGATCATGTGCGCTCCTTTCTTGTTTTTCTGAAAATGACCATAAATATGTGTTTTTGAGAAATAAACCCTTTCACCAGTTAATTGATATCTACTAATGTGTGGTTGTACAATACCTTTCTTTTTATGTTGTTCAGGACCCCAGAAGCAAACACAAGTTCAAGATCCACTCATATGGCAGTCCCACCTTCTGCGACCACTGCGGCTCGCTGCTCTACGGCCTCATCCACCAGGGGATGAAATGTGACAGTGAGTACACACACCCTGTCTGCATCTGTGTGTGTGTGGGTGTGTGTGTGTGTGTGTGTGTGTGTGTGTGTGTGTGTGTGTGTGTGTGTGTGTGGGTGTGTGTGTGTGCGTGTGTGTGTGTGTGTGTGTGCGCACCTGTGTCGAATGTGCTGTGCTGGTAGAGGCGGCTCTAATGAGAACAGATGGGAATAGACTGGTACTGTACTACATGCAGCCACATCTGCAGACCCCGGCAGAAAAACCCCTCGTCCCACCCTGTGCTCCCATTCTTTCCACCCACACTTCCTTTCTTTCTTTGCATGTTTTACCCCATCCTGTACTGTATTTCCCAAATTTTAATTCTTCTTCTCCTCCTCCTCCTTCTTCTATCTGTGCTTCCAAGTTTTTCTCTCTTTACTCCCACATATCCTTCACCCTTTTCCTCTGCATCATTTGTCCCTCAACCTTAGTGTCCCTTCTCTGTCCCTTCTTACCTTTCCCATGTTTTCTCCATCCATCACCCACCCACCCTCCCTCCCTCTCTCCTCCTCTCCCCTCCTCTCCCTGTCCCCCTCTTTCTTCCATTCGTCTGCTGGTCTCTGGTGGCGGCCTCATCGCAGATGGTAATGGGAGCACACCAGAACAAATTGATGTAGGGGAACCCACCGTCATTATGAGCTGCTTCCCTGCTCCTTGTCTCCTCCCAGCAAGTCAGCCTGACAAGCTCACCGGAGAGGGGAGGTGAGGGGAGGTGAGGGGAGGACAGGAGAGAGAGAGAGAGCAGGAGAGATGGATGGTTGGGAGAGGAAGACAGAAAGTAAGCTGGAGGACAGAGCATACAGAGGAGGAGGATGTTAGGGAGAAAGTTAGGGAGCAGGAAGGGACAGAGGAGGAAACAAGGAGGAACAAATGTTCTGGTATAGTATAGTATGGTAAATATGGTATGGTATAGTACAGTGTGGTATGGTTTAATGGGTATGGTATGGTACAGTATGGTATAATATGGTATGGTATGGTTTGATGGGTACAGTGTGGTATAGTATGGTATGGTATAGTACAGTATGGTATGGTTTGATGGGTATGGTATAGTACAGTATGGTATAGTACAGTATGGTATAGTATGGTATGGTTTGATAGGTACAGTGTGGTATGGTATAATATGGTATGATATAGTACAGTATGGTATAGTATGGTATGGTATAGTACAGTATAATATGGTATGGTATAGTATGGTATGGTTTGATAGGTACAGTATGGTATGGTATAGTACAGTATGGTATAGTACAGTATGGTATAGTATAGTATGGTATGGTTTGATGGGTACAGTATGGTATGGTATAGTACAGTATGGTATAATACAGTATGGTATAGTATGGTATGGTTTGATGGGTACAGTATGGTATGGTATGGTATAATATGGTATGGTATAGTACAGTATGGTATAGTATAGTATGGTATGGTATAGTACAGTATAATATGGTATGGTATAGTACAGTATGGTATGGTATGGTTTGATGGGTATGGTATAATGTGGTATAGTACAATATGGTATGGTATAGTATGGTATGATATAGTACAGTATGGTATGGTATAGTAAAGTATGGTATTGTATGGTATAGTATGGTATGGTACAGTATGGTATGGTATAGTACAGTATAATATGGTATGGTATGGTATAATACAGTATGGTATGGTTTGATGGGTATGGTATAATATGGTATAGTACAGTATGGTATTTTATAGTATGGTATGGTATGGTTTGATGGGTACAGTATGGTATGATATAATATGGTATGGTATAGTACAGTATGGTATGGTATAGTACAGTATGGTATGGTATAGTATGGTATGATATAGTACAGTATGGTATAGTAAAGTATGGTATTGTATTGTATGGTAAAGTATGGTATGGTACAGTATGGTATGGTATAGTAAAGTATGGTACAGTATTGTATAGTACAGTATGGTATAGTATAGTATGCTATGGTATAGTACAGTATGCTGTGGTATAGTACATATGGTATAGTATGGTATGGTATAGTACGGTACAGTATGATATGGTATAGTACGGTATGGTACAGTATGGTATGGTATAGTACAGTATGGTATAGTAAAGTATGGTATAGTACAGTATGGTATGGTATAGTACGGTATGGTATTGTATGGTACAGTATGGTATTGTATGGTACAGTATGGTATAGTAAAGTATGGTATAGTACAGTATGGTATGGTATGGTATAGTACGGTATGGTATTGTATGGTACAGTATGGTATTGTATGGTACAGTATGGTACGGTACAGTATGGTATGGTACAGTATGGTATGGTACAGTATGGTATTGTATGGTACAGTATGGTATGGTACAGTATGGTACAGTATGGTATTGTATGGTACAGTATGGTATGGTACAGTATGGTATGGTACAGTATGGTATTGTATGGTACAGTATGGTATGGTATGGTACAGTATGGTATTGTATGGTACAGTATGGTATGGTATGGTATTGTATGGTATTGCATGGTACAGTATGGTACAGTATGGTATGGTACAGTATGGTATAGTATGGTATGGTACAGTATGGTATGGTACAGTATGGTATGGTATGGTATGGTATTGTATGGTATTGCATGGTACAGTATGGTACAGTATGGTATAGTATGGTATGGTACAGTATGGTATTGTATGGTACAGTATGGTACGGTATGGTATTGTATGGTACAGTATGGTACAGTATGGTATTGTATGGTACAGTATGGTACGGTATGGTATTGTATGGTACAGTATGGTACAGTATGGTGTTGTATGGTACAGTATGGTACAGTATGGTATGGTATGGTACAGTATGGTATGGTATTGTATGGTATTGTATGGTATGGTATGGTACAGTATGGTATGGTATTGTATGGTATGGTACAGTATGGTATGGTATTGTATGGTATTGTATGGTATGGTATGGTACAGTATGGTATGGTATTGTATGGTATGGTACAGTATGGTATGGTATTGTATGGTATGGTATGGTACAGTATGGTATGGTTCTAGGTATACCTAAGTCTATATTTACTCTTAAACATAACTCTTCTCTATTTTTGCGATCATTCTGTATATTTCCTAAAATATCCAACCCAGCTTTTCCACTTGATGGAGCTCTTATCTGCTCACAGTGTTTATTCCAAAGTAATGTTTCTATTACTTATTGATGTTAAGTGCTTCTCTGCACCTTTGAGGAAACCGGCTTCATTTTTATGCGTCTGAAGGAAAAAAGAAAGTACTGAATAAACTCTTTACAAATCTTTTGCAACTTTGGGTCGGCACCCTGCATGCATCTGTTTGTGGGTCAGAGTCTGTACTATTCAAAGACTGAACACTAGACAAGCATTATTTGTACTTCAGTACCTAAATGTTTAAGTGTTTGTTCATGTGAAGTCCAGTGGGTGGCTCTGCAAAGATGTATAAGGACAGATCATAAGAAGCTGCTTAAAGGTTTATTTTAGTATTTTGTACTCACAAATCTAGGAATAAAAGCAGCTCACACATTTATTTTTGACCTAAAATAGCCTTACATCTGATAGAGGAAAGTATTCTTTATTTGCTGCCATGTAGAGCACACACCCTCTGAGACATGTTTTATATTCATTGTACAATATATCTTAAATAACCTGTCATTTGACACTCAATGTTTAGTGCACAATATTTTAGTTTAACTCCTTCAAAGGCTAGGATTTATCTATTTTGGAATTAGAGCCCTCCAAGTTGCAAACAACCGACATAATGAAGAAAAATCTTTGTTATTGTTTTCAATGATTTGGCACAGAACTTCAAATCCTCATAATTTGTGATATCTCTCCAACACCAGCAGTATTTTATTCTCCTGCCAGAGTTTCTTCATCTGCTTTAGCTAATACTCTAGTATTTCAGATTTGATGATCTTGTTATCCTCTTTCTGTTTGGTGTAAAATAACTTCTTGCATAGAAGAATTGAGTTGATTCCAGTTTCTTTCACCATACGTAATCCAAAACAAACAGATTTTCCTCAATGGCGGTATTTCACAGACACCTAAAGAACTCAACAATCAACCCTGCTTATCCCGACCTGTCCTTCTTTGATGTGCACACAAAGTCAACCTTAAATGCACATACAAAATGGTCCATTCTCCCGTTAACATGAGGCTTTAAAGAATATTAGTTCTTGACAGAAACTTAACACACATTTTGCTCCTCTCTGTGTCTCTCCAGCCTGCGACATGAACGTGCACAAGCAGTGTGTGGTCAACGTGCCCAGCCTGTGCGGGACGGACCACACGGAGCGCCGGGGTCGCCTCTTCCTCAAGATCGAGGTCAACTTGGACAGACTACACGTCACAGGTTGGTGTCATTTCTAGTGGTGGTGTTTGCAGTTCTTTTTTATTACTCAGCCTCAGAGTGACGTGAGTGCACAGGCTCCCTGATGTGATTGAGAGCAGGTTCTTTTTACCCAAACTTTTCAGGAAATGTCTGACATGATTCATACTTCAATTGTTCAGCTGCCATGTGTGAATTAGAAGTGTGTTATTTCTGCATGTACCTCAGGTGACACTAAAAGGAGTATCAACTCTACCTGCATAAATACAACGCTGAACTATTTCAAAAATCAGAGAGAGAGAAAGTCCTACTCCTGTGTCCGGATTAAACTGATTAACTCAGTATTTTATTTGATTAAAATTATATTTCTGTCACTTCAGCCAAATACGGAATATACCTTTGTTGATCGTCTACAGCTCTGTGGTGAGGTTGGGCAACAATTTGACATTTTAAATCCAACACTTTATCTGTGCTGGTTCACTCCAAGATCTAAGCTGCACAGGTTGTTATCATCCTCCATTTACTCTACGTGTCACCTCAACTCATTCAAGTGACTGAGTTTGACCTTTCAGCCATGTTTGTGTTGTAAGTGCATTGCAGGGATATTTTTACAAATATCAGACAAATAATGTACAGTAGATGCTTATGGTTGATTGTGCTGTTTTTCTGGACTATCTTATTTATATGTTAGAATATTAAGTTTGTTGGTATCAGTCTTTAGGCTCAGCGTACTTGTTTGTTAGCTCATTAAAGCTCCTGTGAGGAGTTTTTAGCTGGTTATGAATCAGGCTGAGTTAATACTGATGCCTCTATATGACCAATCAAAGCAAAACAAGACTATCAGCAATTAGATTGATCATTTCTTTCTTATGTTTTTGAATGCTTGTAACCCCTGGTGTAAACCAAATATAGATAGAGTGAGTTACCCTGCACATTGAACAGTGAGTAATAAGGTTGACTGTTCTTTTGCCAATGCTTGAGAAAACAAAAAGCAACAAAAAGTAGGGGTATAGATAGTTCACTTTGAAAAGATAGAATTCTTAAATGATTGGTCACTTTGCTTTACAAGAACAAGAAATTCCTCCAGAGGACTCTTAAAAACGCATAGTGTGCGTCTGTGTCAGCACTCAAAATTAACTGCCTTTTTAAGCAGAGTGTGTGTGTGTGTGTGTGTGTGTGTGTGTGTGTGTGTGTGTGTGTGTGTGGTGTGTGTGTGTGTGTGTGTGTGTGTGTGTGTGTGTGTGTGTGTGTGTGTGTGTGTGTGTGTGTGTGTGTTAGACACCTCCAAATTATCCTGTCAGTCAAAAAGCAGCACCCGGAGTGGACAACAGGCTGCTGTTAAAAACGCTTGTGGCAGGGAGAGGAATGACTGCTGTGTTAGTTTCACGACTATTCTCTCTCTGTCACACACACATACACACACACACACACACACACACACACCCACACACATACACACACGGTCACACATGCACACACACAGCAAACAGCAAGACAGAGGTGGTCAGGGAATATAAGCGCTGAGGCCAATAAAGTGTTCCTGAGTGGGGATCAGACAGGAGCAACCTCCAGCCTCACAGTGAAGGATGTGATTGACTGGAAATATATTGCTTTCATAACTATATGTTTGTTCATTTGTTTGTTTGTTTGTTTGTTTTTTTTGGTCTACCAGATGGAAGAAAAATGGAATAAGACGAGGTTGTATTCACAGTAGTCTTCTGTCGGCTTTGCTCACAGTGCTTTTTAGTTAATTGCGTTTCAGTCTTTTTATTTCCCCCGCTGTACACAAAATCCAATTCTTTTGTCTGTTTCACTGCTGATGGAGGTTTCATCTGCTGAAAAAACACTTTCAGTTACACATTCTTTTCATGTCCTTGGCTGTGAGTTTGAATCTGTGTCTGATGTGACGGCCGCCGTCAGCGAGGATGAGGAAACGAGGCAGAGCATAAACAGTGATGACAGCGCGGGACTCGTTGACATGGTTACCCCAGTCTTTTCAGATCAAGCCAAACGGACACAAGTGAAAGCGAAACCGGCTCACTTTCAAGCCAGAGAGACGGCCGTAATGCTTTATGATCTTCCCTCATCTGCTTGTGCTCTGATTTGTATTCCTACAAACACCAGAATGTCCCATCACTTATGAAAGTATTTGCTTCACACTGGTGCAGCAGTGTGATCGGCTGCACCTGCTGCTGGCATATGTAGCGTCTGATATTTAGTGAAATTGCAAACTGTGTTTCTGTTTATTTTCCCTTCATCATGCAGCTGCTCTGTCTGTCATTTTCAAAGCCGCAAAAAAGTGATTATGTGTATTTTTTAATTCATTCATGTTTTTTTTACCACCTTTCAATGTGTCAGTTTGTGGAAACACACATCGCAGTTGAACAGGATCTGTAAATGGTAAATGGACTTGAGCTTGTGTCGCGCTTTGCTAGTTTTCTGACGACTCAAAGCACTTTTACATCACAGGTTACAATACTGATGGTAGGTGCTGCTATCTAAATGGACTCCATCAGTATTTACTTATGACGACAAAGAAGCAGTGGAAGCAACTCGAGGTTAAGTGTCTTCCCCAAGGACACAACGGACATGTGGCAGCAGGAGCTGGAGATCGAACCCCCCGACCTTCCGGTTGAGAGACGACCTATACCCTAACAACTGAGCCACAGCCGCCCCTTATGATGGTGGTATTTTCAAATGGCTTTTAGTGTATTAAACAGTCCAAAGCTTAAAATACAACAAATAAAAATAAGACAAAAGCAGCCCCTCCTCATATCTGTCGAGCTGGGAACATCAATCATTGACGAACCACCTGAAAGATGACTCCATTCATCAATGATAGTTTTGTGATGTGTTTCTTCACAGGATGTTTCTTTTTAATACTCATTAATTACATACAGACTGCCACTAGGATTGCTCTCCTTAGTGTGTGGACTGCTGTTTAAATGCAAAATGTTTCCCCCCTCCCCCTTCGTTTATATTAGCAATAGTCTGAGCAGCAGTGAAGCCTCAGCTTGTTCTCGGGCTCCTGCAGACAAGAGGCGAGCCTGTCTGGGTCAGCGCACACATGTAAACTTGATTAAATCCATCCAGCGAAGAAAAGAGACACATCTCCTGGTCTCTCTCTCTCTCTCTTTCTGTAACCCCCCCCTCCTCTCATCCTTTCCCCTCTGTCTCTCCATACCTTCTTCTTCCGATATTGACATTTCTTGTTATCTTCTCTCACTTGTTCCTTTGAGACCTCAGCATGTCACCCCCCTCTCTTGTCATTCCTTTTTCCCTGCTGAGCACCAGTCTAATCTGTTTTTTTTTTTTCTCCCTCAATAATAAAACAACCATGGCTACCCTTTATTTCTATCATCTTCTATTTTTTAAACCAGCAGAAACCGTACTTGACTTGACCTTTACCTTCTTCTTCCTCTGCATCCTCTGTCTTGTTATCGTGTTGCCTTCTGTTCTAATTTTTTCCTTCTCTCCTATCCTTCCCATTACCTCCTTCATTCATCTATTGCTCCTCCTCCTGGTCGACGTCTACGAGCTTAGGTGACATAAATAACCTGTGGGCATGAGGAGATATTTGTTCTGTAGATGTAAGGAAAGGTAAACATGCAGGCGCGCACACACACACACACACACACACACACACACACACACACACACACACACACACACACACACACACACACACACACTCTCATAGGGCATCTGAGGATGGGAACAAAGTGAGCACACACACGGCGGTGAGATTTCCTAACATGACATGTTTGCCGCTGGTTGAAGAGTACATTTTTTTCCTCCACTGACACAACTCGGAGCACCATCAGGCCTGTGGTATGAATAATATTGGGTTTTTAAAAGGCTCATGACTAATAAAAGGAGGACACATAATGTTGGGCTGAGGGTTGCTGAGATTTACTGAGGCTGCAAAAAGGAGTTAATTTAACTATACATTTTCTCAGTTATTTCTTTGTTGTTTTGGTTTAAGTATCAGAAAATGATTACAAGTCTTTCCCTGAGCCCCAGATGATGTCCTCAAATGTCTTATGTGTCCACAGCTATAAGATAATGAGTTTATTTTAATAGGTTGGCCAACTTTATGTGTTATACTCTGCATTTTCTCAATTCAGTTTGTCCTCCGCTAAAAGGAAGCTGGATTTTAATATACTTAGTTTTTAAAATAGGTGGATTACCTAGTCTGGATCACTCTTATCCGTATTAAACCTTTTAAACAACCACAGGATAGGGGCCCCTAAACCCTGTGACATCACACATGGTCTTTCCCCCTTCATTTCTTTGAATGGATTTTAAAAAACCATTTATTGTAACAAAAAGAAAAAGCAAAGAAAAGGTCAAATGCGTTAACCTAAATCCAGCAAAAGTCCATGTGCTCCAAACTTTGAGCTTCAAAGGGGCTAGCTGGTAGATTTTCAGACCTTGATCTTCACTGGAATCGGTTGAAAATATTTTATTATGTCAGATATTCTGTGATAAAGTCAATTGTTAGGTAAAGCTGCCTTTTGCATTGACTTATCAATGAATAATCTACGATGAAAAGGTTGATTTTCTGCTCATGAAACTACATTTGTTTGCCAGCAGGGCTCTGAAATAAATCAAGAAAAAGAAGTCATCATTCATTTAAAGGTTTACAGTTCATTGATGAAACAGCTTTTTATTGCAGATCTTAATTTAATATAGGTGTACTGTTACTGTATTTTTCTCTTGGCTGTCGTCATAACAGATCTCATTATCCTTCAGGCCATTCAATAATTCACTTAAATCTGTAATCACTGAGTAAAAAAAAAAGCAGTGTGCTCAATGAGATTTGTTTGAGTAGTGTGGGTGGGCTTTCACAAAGAGCACCACTCATGTCTCATCCAAGAGAATCACTTTCACTTCTTTCTGTGTGTGTGTGTGTGTGTGTGTGTGTGTGTGTGTGTGTGTGTGTGTGTGTGTGTGTGTGTGTGTGTGTGTGTGTGTGTGTGTGTGTGTGTGTGTGTGTGTGTGTGTGTGTGTGTGTGTGTGTGTGTGTGTGTGTGTGTGTGATTCAGATCGCTGGCACTGGCGGTGCACTGCAGGGAGGGATCCATCCAGCTCCCTTTTGGCCGTGCAGCTAGCTATCCCCCCAGATTATCAGCCGTTCATTGGTTGCACATGGCATTGTTATGCAACAGCACATTTGAATTTCAAAGCCTTCTTTTTGGGAGATTACATTGCTAGCCGACCACAGTCAGACACGCACCCACCCCAGGAACCAAATGGCATATTTTTCATATTTTTATTTTAGCTGTCACATATATTTTTATCACACCTACTTTTAGCTCAGATTCAAGAGGTAATGATCTCTAAAAAAAAAACTAAAAAAACATAAAAATATCAGATCCCTCTTGTTTCATTTTGTCTCGTGCTGCACTTCACTGACTTTTATGAGACAATAACAGCTGTTTTGTAGAGTAAATCTAAGCTGCATCATTCATTATTTTTAAACAATAAAAGATTATTGCACCTAAAGTATCATTGCAGGTTCCCCTTGTGTTTTTTTATGCTTCACACTGCAGATCGGTTAAAAAAGCATGCTTCTGTCATGCATGTTTGCGCATTATAAAGCAACCTAGTTTCTCAAATCAAGTTGGCTAACACATATTATAATACAGGTCGGCTTTGTTTGTTCTTTTGTACCTGAAAACAAATGATAAAGACAAAAAAACACGCTTTGTCTAATTTTGTTGGTCACCTTTATCAGGAGCTAGGGGAGGGGAGGATACAGAAGGAAGCGGCTCTTGTTGTATCTAAGCAACAACAGACAGCAGAGACGGTCCTTGATCACTTCTGATGATGATGTTTCATTGTGTGTGTGTGTGTGTGTGTGTGTGTGTGTGTGTGTGTGTGTGTGTGTGTGTGTGTGTGTGTGTGTGTGTGTGTGTGTGTGTGTGTGTGTGTGTGTGCGTGTGTGTGCGTAATAGAGAGAGAGAGAGAGATACTGCACATGTGCACAGTGAAAGTAACCTGTGCAGAGAGGTGTTTTGAACTTATCCATCAGCGTTTTGTCTTGCACATATATATTGTGTATCTGCGAGTGAATGTGCAAGTGTGTGTGTGTGTGTGTGTGTGTGTGTGTGTGTTTTCCTCAATAATGTATTTACAGGATTGTTGAAGTTGCTTTGGCGTTGTTTGGCGCCAGCGTTGCCATGGAAGCGAGTGATGCTGCAGCCACAGCCAGCAGAGGGGAGGATTTAGATTACCATGTGGGATGCTGAGATTGTCCTTCTGCTCCTCTTTCATCATAGTGTGTCTTTTTGTGTATGCGTTCAACTTTGTGTGACTTATTCTGTGTGTGTGTGTCTGTGTGTTTAAGGGGGGGGGGGGGGGGGGGAGGGGCAGACAGCCAGTCAGACAGAGAGACAAAACGACAGGGTGTGGGTAATGTAAACTATTAGGCTTAAGTAACACTCTGATGAACATAGTAGAAGCTTCTGACCCTCGCCTACACTGCCCTCTGCTGCACAAACATGGAAGTTCATAACACTGTAGTTGACATTTAAATATTATTAAATCAACTTGATTGTCCTTTGTGTGTTAAACTTAAGGATATGATAACTCCTGGTATATTATTTTCATAAAAAAAGGAAAATCCTGAATAACACTAAACATGTTCTTCTTGTTTATTATTTTAAAATCTAGTTTCTTGATTTTGCTTTTAACCTTTTTGCTGGTCATATTAGAAAGGAAGTATGGAAAATAACCAGAGTTGATACATTTTCCACTTAAAATTAAGAATTTAAGTAGCACAATTAATTGTTTGGTAGAGCTAGACGGATAATATCGGCCGATATTAGCAACCATGTGACGGTATCTGTATTGGCTTATTTTATCTCCGATATATGTGCCGATATAACTCGGCTTATTTTGTTCATTTCTAAATGTGTGTATGTTGTTATTCTGTATGATAACAGCTTTTGAGGGATCAATGCAGTGTGTGTGTATATATACATATATATATATATATTGTATATCCAACCGAAGATAGATCTAAGAAAGATATCGGTCGATATATCGGTATCAGATTTCTCTCTCTAATATCAGTATTGTTCACATATGGTTCAGGCCCTGCTCTTTGGTGCCTGTTAGTTTCTTCTCTCTTTGTCCCTGTTAATGATGTTACCTTATTACTAAATATTACTTACTGTAACGTCCAGCGCTGAAGAGCTGATAGTCAAACATGTCTGCTTTTATCCTCACAAAGACGCAGTGACATTTCATATTAGTGTGTATTGATGCTTTAGAGCGCTCATACATTACCACTGTTTTAATGAAGGATCTCAGCATGCATGTCTTTGTGTGAAAGTTCACACGGACGTCCTGAAATGTACAGATCACAGGCTTTCTCTGGTTCTGCATGTCGACTGATTACATTCAGATATGCAGAGCGGGGAGAGAGGGGCTGCTAATCACACTTTTAAAGAATCAGTGTGATCTCGTCCTGCTCTCCGTCTCTTTGAGTTCTGTTGCTTCAGGTGGATTCATGTCTCCTATTGTCTCTTTTCTTTTCTTTCTCTCTTGTCTCTTTTTCCTTTGCTGTCTTGTCTTTGTTTCTTTTCTCTATTTCACTCTTTCTCTCATTATTTCTTTCTCTTTCTGTTTTCTTTCTTTAACTCTATATCCTCTCATTTCTTTCTGTCTCCACATTTCTTTCATTCTCTTTCCTTCTGTTTTTCTTCCTTTCTGTCTTATTTTTCTTTTTTCCTACGTTCTGTTTTCTTTCTTTCTGTTCTTCTCTCACTTTCTAACTTCTCTCGTTCTTTCTTACCTTCTGCATGTATCTCCTTTTGTCTTTACCCTTTATCTTTCTTTTGTCATTTTCTTTCTTTTAGTCGCTCTGTCTTTGTTTTCTTTCAATTCTTTTGCATTTTCTTGTTTTTGTTTTCATTCTTTCCACCTTTTATTTCTTTATTCTTTATTTCTCTACGCCTTTCTTTTTATATCCTTCTGTTCATTTTCACTCTCCTCGCTTTTTCTTTCTTTTTGTTTGTTTGTTTGTTCGTTCATCCGTTCTCTCTTCGCTCATTCGCTCGCTCTCTCTCCCTCTCTTTCTTTCTTTCCCTCCCTCTCTCCGTGTACACTGCGTCCTGTATGGCTGACATGTATTTGTGTTGCGTGTCCACATGAAGCTGTAAATGGAGCAGCGGGGGGAGTCGGCCCATGAGGAGTACATGTAAATGTACAGTAGATGTTGTCACCATGGTGACAAAAACACTCATTTGGATGCACTTTCTTTTGTCTCTCTTCCTCTTCTAGTGGGTGAAGCCAGGAACCTGATTCCCATGGATCCAAACGGTTTATCAGACCCATACGTTAAGCTCAAGCTCACCCCTGATCCGAAGAACGAGACCAAACAGAAAACCAGGACCATCCGCTCCTCTCTCAACCCCTGCTGGAACGAGTCCTTTACCTTGTGAGTCAAAGAGAAAATGATCATTTTGAAGTATTTTAAAGTTTTACTTCAGGTGAATACAGCTCTTTATAAAATGATATTTATAAAGGTAACAAGGGGAAATTAATAAAATTATGAAGAGATGTTTGGCAGCCTTCTCATACCGTTCCCTCTTCCCATGTGTGGACTTGTTTCTATTCAGTAAACTCAAAGCATCAGATAAGGACCGCCGTCTGTCCATCGAGATCTGGGATTGGGACAGAACCACCCGGAACGACTTCATGGGCTCCATGTCGTTTGGAGTTTCTGAGTTGCTCAAAGCTCCCCACTGTGGATGGTGAGTCTTTGTTCCTTTGTACCTTTCTTACCCAAAAGATGAATCCCTACAGAGAAATGTTATCGTTATCTGCGTTAACGGCATACCATGACATAACAACGTTTAAAAGGGCCTGTCTTGTTTCTCTGTGTGTCAGTGTGGACAGAAAGGAACATGATGCATATCATATCTAAAGATGTGCATCATGCAGAATATAAAAGACTACATTACTGGCAAAAAAACACCCATGGATTCTCCTAAAAAAGGGTCTTACTCAGTAACTGAAGCTAAAAACTTCAGAACACTTCTGGAAGCATTTAATCTAATTTTGGCAGCATAGTCTGTGTTGAGGTTTAGTTTAGTTTTAAGTGTTTTCTGTGTGGCTGCCATTACTTTTCTACATCTTAACATCTTACTTGACTTATCCTTTTGGATGAGAAAGAGGAGACACTGCTGTCGCTAACAGCGAGCAGATTGTGATTGAAACAGTGCAGATTAAAAGAGAAGTCACCATCCTCCCATCTTTCTTCTCGCTCAGGTACAAGCTGCTGAACCAGGAGGAGGGCGAGTATTACAACGTCCCCATCCCCGAGGTGGACGACGTCAACCTGGAGATGCGGCAGAAGTTCGAGGTGAGGACAGAGAGGACTGTCATGTTCAATGAAAACAGGTTTCCTTTGTCACATTTTGTGTTCCTTTCTCCTGTCACTATGGTAACCTCGTCCTTCTGCTGGCATTGAGAGAACATTGAGAGAAGCGAATGTTTTTTGATTCTGAAGGAACATCCAGATAACAATTCATGCTACTTACCCTGACTGTGGAAACAGCTGTGAAGGGAGCCCAGTGGAGGAAGCTTTTGTTATCTGCAGACTTAAAAGACGATTAGAATTTAAGATCGCTGCTTAAATTAACCATTTTGACTCTTTTTTTCCCCACTACATAGTTTCTTATAGGATGTGTCTACAAGTCAACCTGGAAGTCTTTTAAAGATCTGTCCTCCTCTACAGCTCTGGCTTTCACATTTTAAAAGTGTTACAGAAGTAGAAATCATTCAGGCAGTCTAGAGGAACCACAGAAATTGTTTATGTTTCACGAGTCCGATATAAAGCTCCAGCACAAGTTTCTGCATCAGCTACAACAACAGAGTGATCTTTGCAGGTGCATCTGCCAGGACTCAAGCAACATACGACAGGGTGTTACAAACACTCTTATAGATTGTTTATCTTGCCTTCTGATAGATCATCTTTCCATCCAAAATTTGTTTTTATATCAGAAGCGCTCCTGTTGTCTCTCTTTCTCAAAAGTAAAAAGGATGTTGGGATTTCTAAAAACAAGAGAGAACATCTGAGAAATCAGAAATAAATGTTTGCATTGTGAAGTGTTTTGGTGATTTTGAGTAAAGTGAAGCAGAACTATGCAGAATGCTGTCATTATGCATGTGAGGTTGCTCTCTAGTGGCCTGTCTGTGTATTGCAGAAACGTCCTTAAATAAAACTCATAACCTTTTCTCTTACATATTATTAAGTTACCAGTAGAAGGTGGCTACTATATTAAACACCGCAAAGACGTGTGTGATTCAGCGGAGAGGGATGAGGTTGCAGAGAGCGAGGTGGGTTTTTAATAAAGCCCTTCCCTGCGTTTGCCCACAGGTGTTTGAATACAGAGTGTAAATGTCATCTCCTTACAGCAATCCTCCACACTCTGAGACTTTTTTTTTTTTTTTTTTTAATTCCATCTTCTTTCTCCACACTGTACATCACTGACCTTGACTTTTTCTCCAAGGCTGGAGTCTTTACACAAGTGTGCAGTTGCCGTGGAAACTGGGCGAGATGCTGAGATGCAACCAGATGTGACAGAAAGAAAGGATTTATTTCATTTTTTCCAGCCATTGCTTCGACCACTTTACAGTTCGTAAACAGATGATTGAAACAGATGTGCGGTTTTATTTCCCCCGACAAGACACACATGAACTCTGAGCTGAGCTTTAACCTCGATATTAAGTGAGTTTTTTCTTTCTTCTAGGCCTGCCAGTTAAATATCCACTATCTAAAGGTAGCCCTCCCGCCTGCTCCGTCTCTTTTTTTCCCACGCTGTTAGCTTGCATCACTCCCACTGTACCCACTGTGTAAGGATTGTTTGTGGATCTCTTCTGGGCTTCCACAAAGTAATCTGATTTACTAACAAAAGGCTCTCAACAGCACACAGTTACATGCTTCCTGTTTCACAAAATGAAAAAAATGTCCCACTCCTTGCACCACTTTCTCTATTTTTGTCTCGCACAAAACATTTAAGGGACTACATATCAGTGACAACATGAAACCTAAATTTGAAATTCAATTTCAAATCAAAGTGCAGTTTTAACATGCTGCATGTCACTCCCTATGTTGCACACAAACACCACACAGCATTGTTGTTAGTAAATGTTTTTCCTCACCACTTTCTTTGCACTGTCATTGGCCAAAAGAGCCTCACGCCCACTCCTGATTGGCTGGCAGTGCAGCCCACATCCCGCCTCTCTCTAGTCTTGGCCTTTAGGCTGCTGGACTATAGAAGGCTGTTAGGACATGAAGCATGGAGAACACTCACTCACAGTTTGTACAGTAACTGTATGATTGGATGCACACACAGGCAGGATCTTGCCGTGCATGAAAAATCCGTCCACATGGGGGCAGTGTACCATCGATGAAAAGACTGACTGTTTTTTTTTTTTTGAGTAAAACTTTGACACTGATGTGTCACTTCCAGCTTGTGATTGTGTTGAAGCAGGAACATCATTTATGTCTGATTCTGTAGGAATATGTCAAACATGTAAATATGTGAAAATAACTACTCGATGTCTTTCAAGGTCAGAGTTATAATGAGACAATTATCGACACAGGAGGGTTTCCAAAATTAAAAACAATGATGTCATATTGATATGTGAGTTTTAGCTCTTAGTGTTTAGTGCTCCCATGAACATAAATGTCACTTTTCATAAATCATTTAACTTTGCGAGACATAAAGCAGACTTTCTGTGCATTGGTATCGTCTTTTGGAAGCCTTGTGATCCCAAATTTGCTTTGACATGTTTTATTTTTACATGTGTACTCGGGGGTATTTTGTGCTGGGTCAGGGTTTTCAGGATTAACCCCATCCAAGGTTGAGATGGTGATTTTGTAATTCAAATGTAGTTACTTTTAGATGTTTGACGTCATCTTTTAATAATTCAGCGGCGAGGCATCCCTCTCCTTCCCATTTGATTTAAAGATTGTCTTAAACTTTGCCATGAAGAACACATCGGATGTTTGTACATTGAAAATAAAAATCATTTGCAAGGCGAGAGAGTTGCTATTTGTAGTAAAAACTGTGAAAATTAAGTTCAGTATTTCAAAATACATAATCAGAAAGTCTACAGCCCTTTAGGACATTGATTCCCATCCTGGGGTCTGGGCCCCCCTGTGAAGATCTCAGGGTGGACTAGAGGCCTATTCTGCTCTGAGGTTGTCAAAATTAGATTTACAGCTCATAAAATGTCATGGAAAAATCACCACCTGTAACGTTTCGGGCTTTGCCCTTCATCAGACATGTCTGACCAACAGGTGTCAATGGTCATTTTTCCATTCAATTTAATTTAATTGAAGCAGCTTCTTTTGTGACTATTTTTTCTACCTTTGGATGTTTTTTGTTCAGCACACAGTTTTCAGATTAGCGTGCTGTTTGATATTTTTGTACAAATGAATAACCAAAGCTGCAGTGACTCCCCACGACACCAAATGTTGAATGTATTGTTCTCTTAGTTAACCAGGAGTACACCGAGTCAAACACACAACATTAATTATAGAGTATTCTTTCTCACTGAGTCAGAGGAATGGTCGGCATGACAGCAGCCCCCCTGCCCTGCCGGTCGCCTGGTTTTCTCCGCTCTATCAGACCCAAACAGACAACCACTGCAGCCATGATGGGAGGGAGCTTGCAGGGTCTTACTTGCTCTGTTTATTCACACGCTTGGCAGACCAGTCATTATGACTACAGGGAACCTCACAATGCTGGCAGCCACCTGCCGCCTGCCCACCTCACTGTCTCCCAAAATGCACCGCGAGAGATTTCCTGCTGAATCTCTGAGAGGAAATCGGACTTGTTAGTGGCAAAAAAAATCTCTAAAAAATGAAGTAGAGCAAAGACGAGAGAAGCTTGGTTTGATTCTGACTTAGGACTGTGCAGCTAAGCGTTAGCTTTTATAGTTGGAGCGTGTGCCAACATTACACATTTGTGCAAATGGTACTATAATGTAAAGAGCAGCATGCAAAGTACAGTGAAAATATGTTAGAGGGGATGAAAAATCGTAAGGTCAACTCATGATTTAATGGATAAGATGGTGCTTTTAAAAGGGGTGAAATATAAGACACCAATAAATTAGTATTATGTTATTTTGACACATGATAAATTCCAAACAATGATGGAAATAATAACTGAATGTTACACTGCTCTGTGGATTGAGATTATTGTTGGATTTCTATTTTTGTATTTCTATTATTATTTTGTTAATTTAACAGGAACACATGAAGTGAGCATTGCTTCATATGTAAAATACAAAGTAGTTGCCATGGCTACAGGTTTCTACCCCAAGCTAATTTGCAACCCCTGTCCTCTAAGCTTCTAGGATTAAAACAGAATCATTAGACTTAAAGAAATACATAGAAATAGATATTTCTATTTGATTCTAAAATTTGTGCATTTTATATCACCTGTGATTTCTGTTTTTCATCATACAGTTATTAACTACGTACAAGTTTTGGAGATTTTTTGCACCAACAAGGTCTTCCTGCTTTTGGCTACTCTGGAAGTGGGGAGAACTCTTCTACTTTCACTTTATTTTTACTTATCTTTAAAAGAAACATTCAAACTGTAGAAACAGAACTTTGTTAGATTTGTCTTTTCTTTGATATGAATCCTTAACTATCAAAGTGTGCACATACTATCTATCGTAGACAACCAAAACACTCTACAAGTTTTTATCCTGATTTAAAAGCTTCACTTTTCTTTCTACAGAAAGCCAAGCTGGGCCACGGTAAGAAAGTGATCACGCCGTCGGACCACCGGCGGTTCAGCCTGCCGTCCGGTAACATGGACCGAGTCCGACTCAGCGACTTCCACTTCCTGGCCCTGCTGGGGAAAGGCAGCTTTGGAAAGGTGAGCAGCGATAACACGGATAAAGAGGGCAGAAATGTAACGTGTTGTTAGCATGTGTTTTCAGATTTGTCTTTTTTTTCATTTTGACCTTTGACCTGTGGTTTCTCCTTCACCTGCAGGTCATGCTGGCAGAGATGAAGTCAACAGAGGAGCTGTACGCCATCAAGATCCTGAAGAAGGACGTGGTGATCCAGGATGACGATGTTGAATGTACCATGGTGGAGAAGAGAGTTTTAGCCCAGAGAGACAAACCGCCGTTCCTCACGCAGCTCCACTCCTGCTTCCAGACTGTGGTGAGTAAAAAATAAAAAAAACAAACTCAGGGTTATTTGAAATCATTATACCTCCTGGGGCGCCTTAGCAGCAAGATAACACAAAAGCAAGCTTCTCCCAGAACAGCTTGATGCAAATATTTCCCTTGACCTGATCATAAATGTGCCTCCAACATTTAAAACCAGAGCGTCCTCGTATATTTTTCCATCTGTTATTACGTCTGTATTTGCCGTACATTTATTGGAGCTCTTTTGTGGTAGCCCCCCTGCAGAGGAAACTGATACTGAGTCGAGACCACCCCTGAATACAAAGTATTCACAATGACGTCAGATGTGTGCGTAGAGGCGGGGAACTCAAGGACTCTTTAATAAAAAATACATTTACTGCTCAGAGACATAATAAAGGTGTATGAGCCACTGTACTGTCAGGTGTCTCTTTATATGAGCCCATAGATTTAAGGCCGTAGAGAATATAAACTTGATATTCACAGGATCATTCTAATGCACTGCTGATTCATGCTCTGATATACTGCTGCATCTTTTGTACCTATTGAAGGCTGCTCTTTTTGTTGAACAACGTCCTTCTTTTGTAGGATCGGCTCTACTTTGTGATGGAGTACATCAACGGGGGGGACTTAATGTATCACATCCAGCGTATGGGAAAGTTCAAGGAGCCACAGGCTGTGTAAGTGCATGAAGGGTCCATTAATATCCAGTACACAACATCTGATGTTGTTGTTATTAGAAGTGAGGGTCAGAGTAGGGCACCGGAGCCTGACGTGTGATGAGGCTGGAAGAAAGTTGAGATGCCTCACAAAGTACCACTGTAAAGATTTAAAGGTGTAATATATATATATTTAGATAGAAAATTACTATTTTCTGAATTATTTGACTTTTTATCTGGTTAGGAAACAGACATTATTACTGATGCCTCTATGCCAAAAGCAACACAACCGTGAAGTTCCTCACAGGAGCTTTAAATAGTATAATTAGATTGATGACAGTGAGATCAGCACTGTAAACTCTAAACCTTGTACTTCCTGGTTGCTTTGACCCCTAAAGCACCAGATTTCTCCAAAAAATAGGACTTTAATATTTCTTCTTTTGGCAAGAGATTCTCGTGAATCCCTTTCTTAAGTTTAGCAAAACCCCTGACTTGAGGAATATAGACTGTGAAGATGTGTATTTATCTTTTTACTTTTCCATCTCTTGCAGGTTTTATGCTGCAGAGATTGCTGTCGGCTTGTTTTTCTTGCACCGAAAGGGAATCATCTACAGGTGGGTGAGTCAGAGAGAAAGCAGTTTTATTGCAACAGAGCACCACATTCACCTCTAATCTGTTCTTTGTTACATGAAAAACAAGACACACACAAAGGTTGTAACATGAGATTTATCTCTTAAAACAGAAGTCTACTGTTGTTATCTCAACTGTTGTTAACTTTACAATAATTGACCATATATCAGATAAAAAGATCTACATAGAGGAATAGAAGGAAAGGCTGTTGGACAGATGAGTACGTCCACACTTATCTCCCTGCTACAAAAAGGCAGAAATACGAAAGAAACAGAAGACATGCTTGACAGAGACTGAGGTCACCCTGTTCCTCTTCAGCACTTCAGCCACAAACTCAAGTCCATCCTCCCAATAACTCACCAGCACTGTGTTTGGCATCCTGATGTCCTCTATGACAAATTTAGCTGCCTGAAGTGGAGAATGAGGGGAAGGAAAAGATTATTTGAGGCATGAAAAACGAGCAACAACACAGACTGATCTGTAAGAGCGAAGAAGAGAAAAAGAAAGGGAGATATGTTCGAAGACAAATGATTAGAGGCCAAATAATTCTTTGTTTCTCTGCATATATGTTGTGTCCTGCAGAGATATCAAACTGCTGAGAGATGGAAGATAAAGCATGTTTCACAGTTGTCACAAAAAAAAAAAAAAAAGTGAAAAATGCATGCACACAAATGCTCACGGGGTCTCTGCTGCAGGGATCTGAAGCTGGATAACGTGATGCTGGACTCTGAGGGCCACATCAAGATTGCAGACTTTGGTATGTGTAAGGAGAACATGTATGACGGCATGAGCACGCGCACCTTCTGCGGCACCCCGGACTACATCGCACCAGAGGTGAGGATGAGTCGTACAAATCACCGTAATGCTAATAGATAATAGATCAGCAACTGTTATAACACACGGCTGGTCTGCTGGTCATTGTGTCTAACCATTTTTGGCTATAACTACACCTTAAGGGATTAATTCACAAGCAGTAGGGTTTTCATGAAAGCAGAATTTTAACATCGATACAATCCTAGTAAAATCTAAGTACCTGTTTAATTGGTTTCATTACCATGGCAACAAAAATACAAATCCTAGGCACCTAATATTCAGTAATTTCTTGATTTTAATTTTCAAAAATTGCAAGAGTTTGCCTGCAATTCTGTAGTCTTGATTACTTTCCAGTACCATCGATACTATATCTATCCATAAATTACTATCATTCAAAAAACAGAGATTGCATCATTTAAAAACATGTTGTATTGGAAGTACAAAAGTAACAAACGTTTGGACATCCTTAACAGGAATTGTGGAAAAGGGAAACTTTTAAAAAGAAACTCGTTTTGAAATGATAAATTGTCACATTTATAAAGCTGTGAGACGAAGCAATCTATTTTAATGACATTTTCTTAGTGTAAAATAAATCAGTTTGTTCCCTTTTTTCCTGATTTTCATCTTTCCAGAAACGTGCAGACAAATAAAAATGTCACTTCAGCTCGTTTCTCGGAGTTCACAGGAAGATATCGTGTCACATTTTTAAAGAGATATATGTTTGTGTGTTTGGTTATATATGTGTATATATAAATATAAATATGTAGCATATTCTCTCCCATCTGTTTGCACTGACTCATAAGGGAGCAAATTGTCCCTCAGGTGGGAGGAAAGGGAAGCCCATACTTTTTATTTCTAACAGGAAACTTTATTTAGAGACGCACATTAACAGACTTTCTCATTTCTCCACCCCTAAAGACAAAGATAGACCAGATATTTCCCCTCAAGCTGATGAAATTATCATCTCGTCTCTCTTTCTGATAGAATCTCTCAGTTCAGTTGTTTTTTTGCACATTTTGTGTGTTTCTGATGAAGTGCATCAGGACTGACTCTTGCAGATCATAGAGTCGGAGTAGTTCCTTTAACACAGCAGAGTAACAAACTGTAGCGCAGTGCTCAGTCTGTATAATAGTATCATTTCTGTCTCTGTAAATGGCGTGTGCAGCTGTGATTTTCTCTTTTCTTGTGCATGATTATCGTTGTGTGTCTCAGTGTGTAGACTGCGTGTGGGAGGGAGGTGTAGGAGGGCAAATTGGATGGTAGGAGAACGCGCCTTTGTGGTGGGAGCTGAAAATAGCTGACTGTATTTAATGGTGGTTGATTTTTAGTTCGGGGTTCAGATGATAGAAATGTTCACACAGTTTCTCTTGATATCTTTACTCTAGCTCTCTGGAGCCGAGCAGTGTTGATAGAAAAGAGACAGGTTTGAAAGTGATTCTGGCAGCAGTAACAGAGACATCGTTTGTCACTGAAACTGTTGACGGCACGTCTCTGACTGCAGCCATGTTGAAGTTTGTGTTCATGATTTCTACAAGATTTAATTGTATTCCCTTTGTGTCTCTGTCAGATTATAGCATACCAGCCATATGCAAAATCAGTGGACTGGTGGGCTTATGGAGTTCTTCTGTATGAGATGCTGGCAGGACAGGTAATATGTTGTTCTCTATCATCTCTCCACCCCGTTACATGTACGGGATCAGATCCCCTGCTCGTCAGAGTCTGTGGATATTACTCTAAGACACTCCGGCTGTGCTACAAGCTTGACTACCTGTAAGGGTTTCTATAACTATCCTCAATAGAATTTAAATCCCTGAAAAGGGTCAATTAAGAAGCAAAAAACACTGAAAATGTTTCCTACATGTTTTGTCTATATCACTGTGAATAGATGATCTTCAATTTTTGGATGTCGGTTCAGAATCTCTAAAGATCATTTTATTTTCTGACCCTGTAAAAAACACAACCTGTGATTGTCATTCCCCACTCTCTCTCCCCAATTTCCACCTCTATCCACTGTCCTGTCTCTCCAATAAAGGAATAAAAAGCCCCCCAAAAATAATTTAAACCAAAAAAAGCACCATAAGTGAATTTAAGAAGACTGGAGAAGCCTGTATGATGAGAAGTCTTGGTTGTTGTTTATTTTCATTACAGAGACCCTAAACTTGATTTTAAACCTTGGACGACACTTGTCCATAGCAAAAGAAACCACAGGAAAAAAAGTTCTCTCTGGATGAATTTTGACCTCATTTAGACACTTAACAGAAAGATAGACATTCATTTTAACATCTCCAGTTTCCAGGCAACAGCTTAGCAGTCTTTTTTTTCCTCACTGAGGGTGAAATACACACATGAACATTCACACAGTATGAGCAATAAATAACAGCGTTGGTCCTTTGGGTCACAAGCAAACTGGAGTACCATATGTAGAGTACATACAGATGTGACTCCCATTGACGACTTTGCCACCTCCGTGTTTTGTGAGCATTCACAGAACATCCCTTGAGCTGTAAATTGTCACCGCACAAAACCATAAGTGAGCTCGTGTGATACTCTCTCTCTCTCTCTGTTCTCCTCAGCCTCCGTTTGACGGAGAGGACGAAGACGAGCTCTTCCAGTCCATCATGGAGCACAACGTGTCTTACCCCAAGTCCATGTCTAAGGAGGCCGTGTCCATCTGCAAGGGAGTAAGTGTTTGTTTCAGTCACAAACGGCACCACTGATTTTTAGTCATATAAAGCCCGTTTTTATAGAAACGCTGCACGGGAATTCAAATCAACTTAATATTCACAACACTGTTATCATCCTGGTGTCTCGATTTTAAATTGAGCTTCTGTTGCCAGGTAATACAAAGGAGAAGTTTACAGAAGTTTAACGTGTCATTGTCTGGAAAGTTAATGACATGATGCGTTCGGTTTTTCTGACTGAAGATGAAAAACATGAAGGCTGTAAAAAGAGGATTTTTATACCAAACTGAGAGAAACAAAGGAAGTAAATTTAATGTGCACATGTGACTTCAGGTGTTCCTGGAGCCAGCCAAGCGGACACTCCACGAAATGCTGAACGATGAGTCATCAGACATTTTAAACATTTACAGGAAGAGAAAATACTTTTTTTTGATGCAAAAATACTCAGATCATTCTTTATTTAAATATAGTTGGCCGATAAATGAACATTTAACACAGCACGCTGGATTCAAACCGAGATAATGTATTTTTCATTTCATAAGGACTTTAAAGTTTAAGTAAGTTACAGTTTTACAATCGTGACTCTTGACTTTTTATGAGTTAAGACATTTGTAAATTAAAACATTATCTGCTGTAATGTTCATGATTAATATACCCACAACTGTATGATCTTCTTTATTTTCCTACAATTTTTAACTTTTCTCTGCAAAATATCCCAGATAATACTTAGATCACAGAGATGAATCATTTCTCACCGTGCAGCAGATCAATGCAGTCGAGTCACACATCCTTCATGCATAGTGTTAATGGTTCTTTATTTAGCAAACACCTGCTCCTCCTCATACCTGGGCATCACTCTGTGAAATCATCATCACCATGATCGTTATTATTCATCAACAAAGAAAATCAGTTTTCAGAGTAAACTTACACACCAGAAAAGAGTCGATTAAGATCCCTGATATTACTTTCTGTAGGCACATGCAGCGATCATTCATCGTCACAGAGAGAATCCTGATCCCTCTTATTGTTTGCTTCCCATGTCATTGGCAAACGTGATTCATGGTGGAAATTAAAAGTGGCGTCTGAAACTGAAATAGAGACGTGAAAAGGCAGAGTCATTTCCTGAGACTATTTTAGAGCGGCTGACTGTCACTGTGGCTCTGCATAATGTTTCTGATGTGAGCATTTAATGTAAAATGACTTTATTGACTGGTACGTTCCCCCCAGTTAAGACAATCTGAATGACAGGGCGCCAGATAAGTCGGGTTTCTTAAAGGTGGCAGAAGAACAGAGCCCTCCAAAACCCCCCACTGATTCTATCAAAGTGACAGACAAACAAGAGTCAAAAAAACAAGAGGAGTGGGAGTAGGGAGGGAATGGAAGTAGTCACAAATGGCTGAAAGAACATTTCAAAACACACACACGACTGAGATTTTCATTCAAAAACAAACCACAGAACATGTGATGGTGTTGACTCTCCGGAGACACACAACCAGCTGAGCAGGGAAACGTCCACCTCCCTAAAGCCTCCCAGCCCAGCTGATCGTCATCAGCCGTCAGCTGTGGGAGAACATCACAGGAGCTCCTGATGAGCGAGGAAACCTGTGACCTAGTGAATCTATCCATAACAACCAAGTATTTCCTTCAGTTAGCTAACCTCCTCTGTAACAACCTTCCAACCTCTCCTCTCACCAGCTGATGACCAAACACCCGTCGAAGCGTCTCGGCTGCAGCTCTGAGGGCGAGAGAGACATCAGGGAGCAGGCCTTCTTCAGACGCATCGACTGGGAACGCCTCGCCAACAGAGAGATCCAGCCGCCCTTTAAACCCAAAGTGGTGAGTGGAGGCCAAGTGAAGAGGTTGTGTACTGTTTGTGTGCTCATTTGAATGTTTTTTTTCCCAGATTCAAATCCAACCTGTGGCTCCTTTCCCACTCTCTCTCTCTCTCTCTCTCTCCCTAATTTCTGACTCTGTCCTATCTCTCCAATAAAAGCACAAAAGACCCCCCCTTTTGCCTCTCATCTTTGTTTTTGACTTTCAAGGTTAAACTCTTTTTACTGTTATTACTGTTAATGTCATGCACACCATAACTACAGCTAATTCTTAGAAGAAGCTGTCCGGCACTGAAAGGTGACAAGATGACTAAATCAACAGCATATATCAGACATACAGCAAGCAACCAAAAACGATTTCAGTGTGCAAATTAGCCGCAGACCTATTTCCAAATATGGAGACATTAGCATACAAATCCCCTCTGGTGTGCATCGGATCCTCTGATGAGGCTTTACGTTTATTGGACGAGATTTATTAGAATACTTGGATTTAATTTTGTTGCCTTCTGACATTATTGTTAGTTTGCTTTTCACTGAATATGGCGTTCTAGTCATACATTAAATCCAGCCACACACACTGTGGGAGGTCTTTTGGCCAGTCACCATATTATCCATAAATCAGTGACTCGGTTGCGGTGCATTCTTGGTACCACAGTGAAATATGAATACAACAAGCAGGGATCAGATAAGATCTTGTTTGTTGGTGGATTGTTTTTACATCAACTTTTGGCTAACATTGTCTTTAACTTTCTCTACCTCAGCATAGAGATAAAAATTGCACACAAATTCAATTTTTTTCCGTTGGTTTAAAGATAATTAATTACCTCACTTCACCATAAATGTGTCTGTTCTCTCAGCTGTTTCCTTGGTGTTCCTGTGTGCAGAGTATGATGCTTTAAAAATCAAATGTGTCATCAAGGCTCTCAGTACTTCCTCTGAGGGTTTGTGTGCATGAATGTGTGCATATCGTTTCCCTTCATCTCTATTCACAATCGCTCAGTGTTATGGTATATGCAGCCCGACTGGACTCCAGTTGCTGCTGCAGCCACCAGCCACTCTACAAGTGACACCTGCCTCCCCCCTCACTCATGACATCTCAACCTCTTCCTGTCACCATGAAACACTGCTCCTCTGTACAGCCTCCATCTCCTCGCTGCTTTTAGCGCCCGGAGCCACACTCGCACTGCCACCGAGCAGTAAAAATAGCTCCATAAGAGCAGAGTTCCCTTTACTTCCACTCAACGGCAACAATAAATGCAGCGTTTCACAGCGGATGTGTCCGTCTCCGCTCACAGAAGGGGGAGGGAAATGTTTCTAAAAGCAGATCCATTCATTCAAGGGAGGCTCTGTGGGGCAGATCATAGTTCTTTGTGTTCATACACTACGTCATTAATTGGTCTGGAGGGACTGGCAAACAATTTAAGGCTTAGCAGGTTGTTTTCTGAAATATTACAGAGCAGCTGAAAATGCTAGACATGATGACACGTCTCTTACAAAAATGTGTTGCAAACAGCAGGGGCACAAATCCACTCTCAACTCCGGATTTGTTTTTGTTTTCCATTTCCATTCCTGAAGATATTTGTCTCATTTTCCACTGAGAGTCTCGACCTTGCTGCTTCCATGCATGACACAAAGTCATATACATATTCAGTAGCTCATGACAGCCAGAAGCAGAGCTGCACAGAAATGCTGATGACCCCCACTGTGGGGTTAGCTTCAATAATCTAATTACAACTTCTGCCTCATTATGGGTTAGGGTTAGGGTTACCGACCCTCCTACTTTCAAATCACTGATCAAAACTCACCTCTTCAAACAAGCTTTTAATGTATGATTGTGATGTATTTTCTGTTTTCTGTAGTTTACCTTTATTGTTGTTATCTTTATGATTTGTGTGTAATGTTGCAGTTCTGTTAGTCTGTCCTTTACTGTGCTGTTCTTTCTGTTTTTAACTATTGTTAAGTGTCTTTGAGGTTTTTAAAAGCGCTTATAAATAAAATGTATTATTATTATTATTATTATGCATCGGACTTCCACAGCAGTCCTCGAATGCTGAGGAGCTTTCATATAAAAGACTTTTGATGACAAGCTGGTTAAAACTCAAATTCCCAGTTGGCTTATTTAAGAGTTAACATCTTAAAGTACAATGAAAAAATCAAAAAGCTCCTGTGAGGGTTTTTACTGGTTGTGAAACAAATCAAAATGAATAGTGACACCTCGATTATGAACTACAAAAACAAACAAGACCATCAGCGACCAGATTGGAGGTTTCTGTAAAGTCATCTTCCATGCCTTAAACTTTTTATGAAAGGTAGGTTTCTTAACAGCACGTTTCAGGAACAGCAGTTTTTTGCATTTCTACATTTGACTGTTAAACGAAGGCAGGATGAGGTATTTATTTGTAAAAAGAAAAAAACACTTTTACAGGACAAAGTCAGGATACTATCAAGATAAAAGTTCCTGCTTTGTCCACAGAGGCCGCCAAAATCCAAGTAAAAGGTTCCCCACAGGACTTTTAAGTTTCTGTAAGGTTTCCTCATATCTGGTTTGGTCTGGATGTGGAAAAAATTGGGGGGAAAAAGATCAATTTAACGCCTGTTTTTTCTTTCAGTGTGGCAAAGGAGCAGAAAACTTCGACAAGTTCTTCACGCGTACGCAGCCCGTGCTCACTCCTCCCGACCAGCTCGTCATCGCCAACATTGACCAGAGCGAGTTTGCCGGCTTCTCCTACATGAACCCTCAGTTCATCCATCCGTCCCTGCACAGCGTGGTATGAGGAGAGAGAGAGAGAAAGAGAGAGAGAGAGCAGGAAACACTAAAGCATGGACTACAGGATCCTTCCTAACTCCAACTAACATCCCGCTTTCTAAAGACTCATATCACCCTCTACAGTATTCTGACTACTCGTTATCGATGTGTGTGTGCAGAAGTGACTGAGGAAGGGGTAGCAAAGTGTTAAAGACTACGGTACGTCTGGTGGCTGGAAAAAGAACATAGCACTGATATTTTGCATCATTTTTCCCAGGCTTCTCATAACATGTTCTTTATTCGCTTTTTCTCAACACCTGCCGCCGTTATTTTCTTGTAAACAAATGTGTTTATCAGTTTATTAGATATTAAGGAAATCAAAAGATATTTTTCCATCTCATCCTCGCGACTCATGTTTCCCACCTTACTGCGCAAAAAAAGCTGCAACGCACGACAGGAATGGAACATGTTTTTCTGCTCTGTCTTGGCTTTATCTACTTCTGAAGTGCTGATAGTGTATTTTATATTTATATACAACAACAAAAAAGAAGTAGTTACTGTTACACGAGTGCCAAAGTACTGTAGAAGTGGAAGGAAACAGATTTCGTTTGCATTTTCTGAAATTCATTGAAATGATTTTACCCTCTCTGGCTTCCCCCCCCCCCCCCCCAAAAAAAAAAATGTCCGCACATGAAAAATCCCCAAACTAGGGACTGTTTCTATATCTGTTGTTTTGTAGGAAGTTTACAGACAGTGTTTTAACTCTACATGGTCAAACAGAAGCACATTAAGCTAAAGGTTACAAGATGTCAAAGCCGAGGTTAAATGCAGGAACGGGGGGGTCAGAAAACGGTGGCTCACATAGACGGTGTTTGAAAAGTACCAAGATGCTTTTTCCATATGCACAAAGCTGTTGCATGCTTATTTTTTCTGACTCTGTACGAGCAGTAGACGCTAGGATGCAGTACACGTCTGGTATCACTGTAAAGTTTAGTATTAATGATATAAACTATGTTAGCATATAATTGTTGTATGTTTTTGAAGAGAGTTTTTTTTTTTGTTCCCGTTTTATGTCCTGCTTTACTCAGAGAGACGTCCAACCCCCTATTCTATGTCGAGCGTTTTATTTTGTAAATATGTTTTCAAAAAGAGAAGTTACTCGCAGATTTTATACTACCAACTGAATGTGCTTTTACTACCGTAGACAGTTTGAAACATTTCTATGTTTAGACGACCCCTGAGAAGTGAAACGTGTGGCGGAATCTTTGGTAGCTTTGGTATCAGCAAAAACCTTGTTACACGTGTTTCCACTATCTATCTGTTTGTTTTCTACTACTCAGCGTCATGGCGATTATGCAGCAACTACCGCGTGTGAAACGTTTGAATGCCCTCTTGCCTTTGGTCGTCTCAGGACCGACTCCTTCTGTAACAAAATGAATCCAAACGGATTTTTAGAGCCGTCTTTTCTTTCTTGCATATATCGTGTGCATGCATGAGGCGAGGCCTGATCTAAGCATGAGAAAGACCCCCCCTGCATGTTACAGAGACCCCCCCCCCTCCCCTTCTGGTGTGGAGCATGGAGTTACCCCACATATAGTCATGCAGAATGAGACAAACCCGCCCATCGTCTCCTCTTATTCGCTGTAATGTAGCCCGACCTGTTTGGCTTTAAGCGGAATTATTAACAGAAAAATATCTGTAAAGAGAAAAAAAAAAAAAAAAGCTTCTGTTATTTTCTGTTAACTGGTGCCAAACTGTTTCTTTCCAGTCAGGTGTGTCAAGCTGTGTTTGTTTTTTTCCAGAGGCACACAAAGCTACAACAACAGTGAGGTTTCATAAAACTGCCAAAATTTCCAAAGCCTGCAGCGCTCTGATTAGTTCCTTCACGTGTAGATTGAAGCTGCAGCTGTCACATCCGGACCAAAAGGAGGTTTTTAAATGCTTAGAGAAAAGTGAATGTTTACATGTCTCACATTGAGAAGCTTTATCGGAGGAGAGGAAACAAACCCAAGAAACACAAAGTCAGACCCATGACAGGTGATGAAATGTCAGGCCGGTCAGGGTACAGAACCACTACAGGCTACACTCACAGCCACAGGGATGTTTGTATGTGTTTCTTTTTCTGTGCCCCTGCTTTTGTTTACCTGATTCTTCTTGTTCCTCTGTTCATTGTGGTATGATGGATACTGTGTATAAATAAAGTATGAAAAATATTCATCCGCTCTGCTTTTATTTTGGTAAAGGAACTGATGAGTATGAAGTGGGTGCAGTTCAGGATAGTATTTGTTGCTTCTTAGGAAAGAATGACATGTCTAAGATGCAAAACTAATTGAACTAAAGAAGGGGTTTCCAAAACTTTTCAGCTCTTGACCCCCCAAAATAAGGGTGCCAGAGACCACCCCCCCCCCCCCAACTGTCCCAGGAGGTGGTTGGTTTTCTGGCACAACTTCACCAACTGACAAGGTGCATGAAGAGTGAAAGAAGTCAAAATGCTCCAGCAACACTTGTAGTATGAAGATCAACTTTATAAACAATTTAGACCAACGCTTTTCAGCAAAGTTGATCTTCATACTTCATACCAAGTGTTGCTGGAGCATTTTGAACAGGAAGCGGTTGAGGCATATAAGTGCTTTTGGGTCGTATTAAGGGACAGCACAAAATGGTTTGTTGGAGGAGAAGGAGTTTATGAGGGAAGGTAGTCTGACTCTATCTCTGGATAAAGTTTTCATAAATACACAAATACCTACATTCAGGTTTTTGGATTTAATGTAAATAAATGTTACAAATGTTTGTATATTGATTCAAATTCAGCAAATATGTATTCGTGTATCGTATTATTATAGTGTGGCTAGTTTTGTATTAAATGATTGTTGTTATATTGTGTACACTTAGAATACGTCACCTCAACAGTCTCACTTCCTTTCGGAGCCCAGTGGAGCTGTCCTGGGTCCTGAAACTCTCTCTCTCTCTCTCTGTCTCTCTCTCTCTCTCTCTCTCTCTCTCTCTGTCTCTCTCTCTCTCTGTATGTCTCTCCTCTCTCTCTGTCTCTCTGTCTCTCTCTCCCTCTCTCTGTGTGTGTCTCTCTCTCTCCCTCTCTCTCTCTCTCTCTCTCTCTCTCTCTCTCTCTCTGTATGTCTCTCTCTCTCTCCCTCTCTCTCTGTCTCTCTGTCTCTCTCTCCCTCTCTCTGTGTGTGTCTCTCTCTCGCTCTCTCTCTCTCCACTCTCTCTCTGTGTCTTTCTCTCTCTCCCTCTCTCTCTCTCTGTCTCTTTCTGTGTGTGTGTCTCTCTCCCTCCCACTCTCTCTCTCCTCTCTCTCTCTCTTTCTGTGTGTGTCTCTCTCCCTCTTTCTGTGTGTGTCTCTCTCCCTCTCTCTCTCCTCTCTCCCTCTGTGTGTCTCTGTCTCTCTCTCTCTCTCTGTTCGTTCCGTCACAGCGTCGCTTGCTCTCACGCGCTGTTGCATCGTCCTCGCGGCTTCATCAATTTACAGTTTTACTGAAAGACTTTTGACGCCAAATCGAAGGAGATCCAATTTATTCTCCCTCCAGCTCCTTCATTGTCAAGCAAAAACAAGACGTAGCTTCTTGTTTGGAGATTTTTAATCACCAACTTTCACCTCGATATTTTGCAGGAAGAGCGGGAAACACAGCGCTGAGGCTGGACTGACCACAACCAAACAGTAAGAGTTATTATTTGGAAATTAAATGAATTAAATTAAATTCATTATTTCAAGAAGTTACAGAAGTGTCCTCTTCATCAAGCAACGCTGCAATGCAAAAAAATACTCATTTCATTTCCTTTTAATGCATAAACATCATAAATGTTTTTTTTTTTTTGGAGTAATACAGTTTCAGTTAAACCAGTGCACTTAGGTGAAGAGAATCATTTTGAGTTGATTAGGTCAAACTAGACCTCCATAGATTTTGCATGGTGGCTTTTAGAGAAGCAGGACAGCAGACAATTATTGGGAGATCAAATTGTATGGGAGAGGGTGGTTTAAAAATGGGACTTGAGCCCCCTCTCTCATAGCAACACATTAACTCAATCTAAATCAGACACATCTCAGTACTACTATTAGTTGTAATTTAAATATCCAGCAATGCCTGATGTCCAAAGTAATGTGTGGATACTGGACAGGTGATCAATGGTTACTTTCTCTAAACTTAAAATCCATACTTGGACATTTTAACATGATTGTTCCTTAGTGTTAGTAATTATTACAAAAACAATATCACCTGCAAAGATCTTCTCAAATAGCATAATTGAAAGATTCCTGAGCCACATGGCATTTGTGACTTTCTTTCAGCCATCTTGATTTTCGAGAAATGTTGGTACACTTGCTGGCCATTGGGTGGCGCTGTAAGAGATGACTTAGTTAAGTCCAATGGAGCAGCTGATGTGAAACCACTCTTTAAAAAGCCAGGAAACAGCTGTGCACTGTAGTGACCACTGTGTGTTAAAAGGGTTAAAGTCATAAAACATACTGAAGAGAATAATGAACCCATCAAATGGTAAAGTCTCCAATTTATTAATTTCTCAACAAGATGATAGTAAATCTGCTGAGGGTATTAGTTGTCGCCTTGTTTTGAGAACATCTCAGAATCAAGGATCTTTCTCACAGTCAATAAAAAGATCAATTCTAAAAGGAAAATAGGAAATTAATCAGAAAACAAATGAGAGCTCTTTAGCTCCTTCAGAGTAGAGAGGCAACCTGACATATGAATTATATATGGGTGTAATTGATTACACACTCTCTGTGACAGTGTGTCCTCCAGCTGATAGCCCCCTCTGCTCTGTCTGTACGTCATTCACACTGGATCCAAATCAACATCGCCTTGCCACTGCAGATGACTTCTCACTCTGTGATATGTTTTCTAAATACCCACACTGACATCCAACAATGACTTAATGAAGAGAAACATCCATCCTCTTTTTAAATGATCTTGCTCTGATTTGTTGCTGTAAAAGGATTTAATCAGTCGTCTTCATTTTGACCTAATGTGAACATTTGTGTTCCCAGCAGGAGGTTACAACTCTCTAACATGTTATTGACTCAGCCTCACTGTCTTATTTGTGGCATGCTGCAGAGATTTAGCAGTGACATGGACTGATTAATACTTCACTGGGGCAATCAAGCTGGAGATGGATTGGCTCAGTGAAACTTAACATTTAGTATATTTGATGGGTGATTAAGTTTCTGCTCGGGAAGAAGTCCTCAGTATGATTTACTCGTTGCAGCAAAAACCAGACTGAACCGTATATTGAAAAAAAAAAAAACAAAGAGGATGTGGACCCAAATGCAGAGAACAAAACACAATTATTTAAACAAAAAAGACAAAACAGAAACTTACTCTCCTAACAAAATCCAAAAATGGAAACAAGAACCCATGAGGAAAACACTGGAAACACTGGTTTCACAGATGCATGACCACGGGGAAAATCTGACACGAACTGACACAGAGGGGAAGAAACACAGAGACCAAATACAAGTAGCAATCAAACACAGGTGAGACAAACGACACAGGTGAAGACAATGAGAGCAATCAAAACTGGACACAGAGGCAGGAAGAAAGACAGGAAACACAGAAGACACACAGAGAACCCATGAATGTAACCATAACAACACACACTGGAACATAGAAGGTTTGGCTATGGTGCACTGATATGGAAAAACATCACACGATTAATGTGATTTAAAAAAAATGAATGCCTTTATTTTGGACATGAATCTCATCATGATTAACGCATCAACACTGATAGCCCTAACATTAACCTTCCAGCACCTCTTAATAAGATAATATCATTAATTAAGGCGAGGTAAGATATATATATATATATATATATATATATATATATATAACGTATAAAGTCATACATCAGTTCCAACCAAGTATTGGTGAACCCCAAGACTACGTGCTGAGAACAACATGAATGAATGAAACCTTTATTGGCCCTTAGGGGGATTTGCCTTGCACAGAGAGCTAAACAACACAATACAAACAAACATTTACAGGACAGCACATAAGAACACATAAAAACACACTAAAGCATCACATGATTCAATGAGGGATTTCAGCAAGTTAAATAAAGTGCAGAGTGTCAAGTTCCTCCTGTATAATCAGTATAATCTTATTAAGCAGCTGAATACTGCGCGGTACAAAGGATGTAATGCCTCTTTTAGTCCTCATCCTGGGCATTCTGTACCTGCACCCTGAATTCAAGAGTTCATACTCTGACCAAAGGGGGTGCAGAGGGTCAGCTGTAATCTTGATGGCTAAATTCAGTGTGTACCGATCTGTCAGGAAAGAAATGCTGCACATTTGCTTCCCAGTTGTCTTGCTGCCTTGTTTATGTAAAACTTTATGTATCACTCAGTCTCAGCAAGGTGTTCCTGGTGTCATTGATTAATACAGCAGACAGATTCATTAAGATAGTACCTCTGAGATATGCAGTCCACCATACAATGATTGCACGGTGAATTAAAAAATACAGACTTATTCACATAATACAAAGAAGCTTGTCTGCTTCAATGTGTAAACACACCTTCAGTGCTCAGGCTCTGATCCGGTGCATTTTTATGAATTGCAGCTGTGCATATATTAAGGCCTACAAGACCGAGGCCTCTAGTTTGATATTTCCAAGTCAATCAGTGGAAGAAGCCTACGTTATATTTTGACGCATTTGGAGATAAACGTGCTGGAAGTTTCCAGTCTTAGTGCTAAGCTAAGCTAACCAGTTTATTCCTGTAGCAAAGACTATTACGCATACTCACAAAACACATCACCTTCAGTTTAAAAAAAAAGGGAATGGTGTATTTTACAAAAGGTTGAACTTTATCTTTAAACTTGAAATTATGAAATGATATTGGGTTTTTTTCTTGCCTTCTTTTTGATTAAATGTCAAAATGCTTCTTTTAATGAAATCTTTGAACATAAATGGTTTACGATCAAAAAACGATTTAATAATGATGTTGTATTTCTCCATGTGATGGAGTCTTTATAAAACACTATCCATTCTCCTTTTCACCAGAGTCCTACCTTCCCTTCCTCTTTCTCCTGCAGATTTCATTTAGTAGGTTGCTTGATTTTGACAGCGGACTGCTCGAGGCCCCCCCCCTCCCCGCTGTCAGTATGAGCGCGTGCAGCAGGAAAGCTCTGACTTTGCTGAGCAGCGTCTTTGCAATCAGCGGCCTGGGGCTGCTGGGAGTTGCGGTCAGTACTGACTACTGGCTGTACCTGGAGGAGGGCATCATTATGCCTCTAAACCAGAGCACCGTCATCAAGACCTCCCTGCACTCCGGCCTCTGGAGAGTCTGCTTTCTTACAGGTCAGAGTGGATTCTTTGTGCCCCCATTGTGTGATGGTTGATCCTGTTACAGCACCTCCGACAAATATCAGGATTTTTTCTGCAAAAGTGTGAAAGCTCTAATAGTCTTTGCAATGTGTGAGGAAACTCAAACTGTGAAAATAAAGTTGATGGAAAGTTGATGGAAGATCTGGACAACACTAAGTGGCTCATTTCACTTAAAAATAAAAACGCTCTCACACTGCTCAGTGGACGAGTCAAAAGTAATTAGCTCAAACATTTTACTTGTTTTGCTTTTTGTGGTTTTTGATCTTTTAGAGGCTCCTTGTTTTATATCAAATAAAGCCTTTTTTTTGTCCAAACAGGAAGTAAAGTACCTTACTACAGTACAAACACACAAAAAGCATAAAAAAGCCAAATAATGGATTTAAAAACACATGATTGAAAATGCAATTAATCAGGATTAACTATTAAAATTCAGCGATTAATTGTGATTTTGATAAAACAATCCTTTGACACCTCTACTCCAAACACTTCCCTTTCTGACACAGTTGTTTTCAGTGTCTTTCTTTTTTTTTTCTGCACACCTGACCTCACCAACAACCTCCACACTTGCCTCCAGTTACCCCATCATCTTTTCTATAAACACAGCCGTCCTTCAGCCACTGTTACCTGCAGGCTCATCTTCTAAAATCGTCATGGACTTTCACTTCTTCTTTTTTTTAAGTGTTTTGTCTGAGTCTGTTATTTTTCACGTCCCTGTTTGCTTTTGTCCTTCAGGTGAGGAGTCTGGCCGTTGCTTCACCATCGCCTACATCATGCCAATAAACGTCCAGCTGACGTCAGAGTCCACAGTCAACATGCTCAGTGAGTAATAACAAAACTCTTCTTTTCCAATTAGGTTGTGCTCAGAAATGATATCTGAGTGAAGTCGGACGAATGAGTCTGAGTCATCCGAGCCCTTGTGTTGTTGTCCCGCTCCTCTCCAGAATACTTAAAGCCTTTTTTTCCACAGACAATTCACCTCACAGAATCTTCAGAGTCAAAGCTTTACTACACCATGAGTCAGTGTACTAAGTTCTGATTTTTTACTCCACTCACAGATTTCATGACGTTCAAGTGTCTCCTTTTCATATCTTAGATTTAAAGTGGACTGTGTCCTTGTCCTTTGAACCTCACTCACAACTTCAAACAGATGCCACAGTTTGGATGGATCAGCAGAAGTTTCCTTAATTTCACTTTTAGATTAAAATGGATCCTATGAGGTTGATGTCTCACAGTCATCTGTGTATAAGCTAAACACCAGCTTTCCTCCCCTTCTCAGAGATGATCCGCTCGACCACTCCGTTCCCTCTGGTCAGCCTCTTCTTCATGTTCATCGGCTTCGTCACCAACAACATCGGGCACGTTCGGCCTCACCGCACCATCCTGGCGTTTGTCTCTGGAATCTTCTTCATCCTCTCAGGTACGTCCCTCTCCTCTCCTGTCACAGCTCTTGTCTCTGTGTCCGTCCTCTCATCTTCTTCTTCATTTGTTTAATTTGAATGTTTATGTCTCTGTCTCTCAGGTCTGGCTCTGGTGTTGGTCTTGTGCTTTACATCTCCAGTATAAACGATGAAATGCTGAACAGGACGAAGAGCAGTGAGGCTTATGTTAGCTACAAGTACGGCTGGTCCTTTGCCTTTGCCGCCATCTCTTTCCTGCTCACTGAGGTGAGAAAACAACATTGATTGATTGATTTATTTCGTAGAATAACAAGTACTGAATACTAATTTGCATAAGTGTAAGACTGAAATAAAATCTTTATTTTCTCTGCAGCATTTTTCTTTGAGAAGTCTGAGTGCTTTTTTTGTACCAAGAGTCAATTTAATAAAAAGTGAGTGTGTAGCTCCCTCTGGTGGTCCAATAGAGAAATTGCGACGCTTCATCTAATCAACAATGTACTTGTGTCATTTTTTGTGCTAAAGTGCTAAAAGTTGCATTAATGATTGATTAAGAGCTTTGGGTACAGTTTTGTTTTGTAGAAAAGGTGGTGTGATGTGTAATATATATTTGAATGCATTATATCAGTAAGTAATTTTTAATGAAACCCCTTACAAGCACATTTAATATTTTCTTTTGTTAACTCTAATCTTTGTTTGTTTCCAGAGTGCGGGTGTCATGTCCGTCTACCTGTTCATGAAGCGTTACACATCAGAGCAGATCTACCAGACTCGACACCCCAGCTTCTACCGGCCTCGCCTCAGTAACTGCTCCGACCACTCGGGTCAGTACCTCCACCCTGAGGCCTGGTCCCGAGGGCGAAGTCCCTCCGACATCTCTAGTGATGCTTCGCTCCAGATGAGCAGCAGCTACCCCACTCTCCTCAAATGTCCCGACTACGACCAGGTGTCCTCTTCGCCCTGCTGAGGGGTCGCAGAGGTCACCTGAAGAGGTCACTGCAGGATCACAGAGGCCTGCTGCGGACTGCAGTTTTCTTTTAAGAAAAAAAGTACAGCTTAGATACTTAACCTTAGCTTTAATGATTTACACATGTGCAGCTGTGGCTTCACCGTGGCCTAATGACTCTGAAAATAAGTCCAGCTGAGCCGTTGTTGCTGTTTCTAGAGTCAGAGATGTTTTTTGGATTTGAATTGGTTGTTGCTGTAGCAGAATCAACATATCGTCTAGTTAGAGGCAAGCTTTCCATTCAATACAGGGGCCAAAAAAATATATCTAAAAAAAAGAGAGAAGACCTAAACAGATCTGTATCAGTGTATCTGCAGCTACAGTTTTCCACAAACTGAAGCTAGTGAGCTTTCCAAACAAGATGGTTCAGGATGACAACACTGCATTGTTCACCAATAATTTGTGAACAGCACCTACAATTGTGTGTGTGTGTGTGTGTGTGTGTGTGTGTGTGTGTGTGTGTGTGTGTGTGTGTGTGTGTGTGTGTGTGTGGGAGGGGGGCTTTATCAGGTTTCCTGTTTGTCAAAAGATGCCTTCACTAGTTTTGTAAACCTATACACCACCGAGAATGATTCTGTAGGAAACGAGGCTTGACCTTAAAAACGACAGCCTTAAAGGTGTTCATAAAATGTGAAGCGATTGTGCAGGTAGTCGCAGGACTTTTTGGTGTAAAAAAAAAGTGATGTGCCTCTCAGTAGGGGACATCTCCTGCCTCCTGCAATCAAATGGCATTGCTTGTCCTGTGACACAATATAGTTGTATGCATCATTGGAAACATATGAATATAATAAATTAAGCAAGGATCCACACCGGTGTCACTCTAACCAGCTATTTTAGTCAGTATCAGTGATTACACAATAAAAGCATCTGTATTTTAGAAAAGTTGTACCATGCTACATGCTTTTCTCCCATAAGCAAAGGTATGTAACAAGTGATGCAATGGAAGGACAGAGGAAAGAGACTCAAGACTCCTGTCAAAAAGCATCCGTCCTGCTGTTGTGTTTTTCTTCTATTGAGAGGTGTTGTTTTGTCTCAAACATCTGACTCTGTAGGCAAGAAGAAAACCCTTCTACATGATGTCCAGAACAGCAAAACATGATGAAATGTTCATATTTGTGTGTCATCAAATAATAATTTCTCTGGTCCCTGCGGCGACCCATCCACTTGAAAACACGCAGACTGAACCAGCTGAGATCACACACATTTGTTTTGCTGTTACTTGAATTCATGTAAAAATGTAAAGTCAATGAGGATGCTTCTTTCTGAATGACATTTCTCATGTAGCTACACTGAAGACTAATCATCTGAAAAATCATTTTTTTCACACAGTAATTCATCTTGTATCCACTAGGGGGCAGTGCTTGGCCTTTTTTGTGTTGAGGCAGAATTGTATCTTAACATGTCAGCTTGTTGAACAGCTTTTGAGCTACTTTGGAACATTTGTCTTCTAAAGGTTAAATCTGTAAGATATCTACTGAAAGAAATCATAGTGACCTAACTATATGACAGACATTAAGGAAACATGCTGTGTTAAAGTGCTGACTTCTCTGACAACAATGCAGCAGCCAGTGTATTCTCCTTCTAGGTTTAGATTCTGATCCTGAATGATCTGTTTTTGATTGGACTGAGAATGTAGGCGGTTTTAAAGCACCCCCTCACGGCCGTTTTGGACGCCCCTCAGTTTCCAGGCAAAACGAACAGGTGTTGCAGTGATGAGGGGGCGAGTGAACTGGTTCAGAACTGATTCCATTTTTTCTAATAAGATGGAGAGAGGTTAGAACGCAGAAAGGTTTCCAGACTGATGCGGAGCCGTTACATATTGCTCCTTTACATTTGTTAACTTATTTACTTTTTGATAAGTTGTTTGTGTGTGAAATGAAGGCTGCAATTATTTTCATTTTCAGTTACTTTGCGGTTTACTTCTGTGGTTCATCTATTAGTCGAGTAGTCTTTTGTGAAATTAAGATGATTCAAGATTTCTTAATGAATGCTAATCATACATCTCTGTATAAAGTGTATAAATTGACCACCTTTTCAAGACTTATTTACTTTTTATTTTATGATTGTTTATTCAGACTGTTTTCCTTTAAATGAACTTTTTATAATCATTATGTAAAGACAATACGAAATGCTGACCCATACTGTCCTGCTTTATGCTGATTCATTCATTTAATCATACAACGCCTGGGTCTAACCGGCTTTCATCAGGTACTAAGATGGAAACGTTTGAATAAATAAACGTATCAGCATGAAGTGACACAGTGTGCAGGAGCCTTTCTCATTGTCTTTAAGTTTGAACTCTCCTCTGACACACCTGTCACACATTCAGGTGTGCAGAGATTTTTCTCAAGGTTGTAAATTTGTCAAATTTCATGAAATGCTTTAAAACATATTGTTGAAAAAAGAAGTTGCACAGTTGTAAATATTTGTTTCTTAGTGAGGTCTTACTACAGGTTGTGTTGTACCTGGCTACATTGATATGTAATGGTGTTTTTTAAAGGTTTATTTCAAGGCCTTTTGTGCCTTTATTTTAGAGACAGGACAGTGGATAGAGTCAGAAATCGGAGAGAGAGAGAGAGAGAGAGAGTGGGGAAGGACATGCGAGAAAGTAGCCACAGGTCAGATTCAAACCCGGGCCACCCGCCTGGAGGACTGCAGCCTCCGCACGGACCACAACGGCACCAACTCCCAAAACACATTTTTAATTGAATAATATAACACTTATATTTTCTTGTATTGTTACTTTATGTATTTCCTGTAATTCACCAGCAGAGGGTGTTCTCTCTCACCTTTGTTAAATCTTCTCCACATCTTCTCTCTGCTCACATTTCTCTCTGGGCCTCAGCGCCTTACCTCCAGCTCTCCTCTTCGACTTCACTTCCTGATCACTTACCTTGTAGTCAGCGTTATTGAACCGTTCTCTGCGTGATGGAGGATTACACGATAAACATTCACAGAGCGTGAAACGGCACCTCTGTACCAGAAGTGTCTGTATAATTCATTAACGAAGGCTCATCACTTATGCAAATATGTAGGTCAAGACCAGCATCAATAATGAATCCAGCGTGCCTCTGCCGTCAGCTTTATGTATACTTTATATAGATACACGTAATGTACAACGTGACCAATAGCTTTACAGAGAATATAAAAGTTAATATGAGCCCTGCAGGGACGTACAAGATAATATTCAGCCCTGACCACAAGGCTTCTTCATCTGATTCCAAAATCACATAGAAAACTACAGGTTTGATAGGTTTTTTTTTTTTGACATCATCATGAATAATAGCATCATCATCATCACTGATATAACTTCACTATAATCATCATCATCATTAACATCAAACATCGTCTTCATAATCTTTATCATTGAAAATACAACCATCTTTGTCTCTCACTAGTCATGGCTTTTAAACGGCGTCATCACAGTAATTCACCTCTGTAATCATCATTCTCGTCATCATCGCATTTTTTTTTCATGATTTGTTTAAGGCTTTTCGTCGTTGTTGTTGTAAAGAAGACCCCAAACGTCAGCTGATGCAAACTTCTGCTCAAACATGTTACACAGAGTGTGCATACTACAACAAAGAGACTGGAAACCTATACATTATATGTACATACATAACTTAAGCATACATCGTGGAACATTCACAGGAAAGTATCAAACCATCTCACAAATGAAATAAATACAAAGAAAATAGGATAAGTCGGTTATATTCATATACGTTTAAAGAGGGACACAAAAGCAAGCAAGGGTTTTTAGGATTACAAACCAAATGCAAACGGGATCACGACAACACATCGACCTTCACTCACATACTGTAGGTCAAAACCAAAAGCTTAATCGGACTGGTACCCTACTGGGCCGATGCACAGCCACACAGCCATCATTAAAACCTACCCAGAAGACTAAAAAGACTTTCTCTGAAGACATGAGTAATAATCCTTAAGATTTAGGTTCAACATTGAATCTGTTATAGCAGATTTATTAAGTGAATATCTCACTAAACTATGTAGGTGGTGGTGGAAGGGTCAACAACACGGCTGGATATAAATGTGCATCAAAAAGAGAGTTTTCAGTCAATCTGCTGTACTTAACTGTATCAGAAAGATACTTCAGTGTTTACGTTTCACTCTTTTAAAGCCTTATTAGAAAAATGTCATATTACCGTTTATTGTTAACCCAGCATCTTACATTTAAAGTCTTCAACTTTAAAAAACAAAGGAGCTTTTCAACGGTCACAGTGGAGGCTGGTGCATCTTTCTGATTGTCAGCAACACGATACAACCAGCTATTTATCTATCAATTCATAGGACTTATTCACTCTCTGCTGCCACCTGTTGGTGGGTTTGAAGGATTTGGTGTGCAGTTTTTCTGAGTTCAAAGAAGCCTCTATCGCTTGGATAGGAGCAAATGTGCATGTAAAACTTCAAACAAGAGCCAATGGAGGCCCTGGACTCAAGAGTTTTGCACCCCAGACCGGAACCAACACATGACCAATCAGTAACTTCAGCTGTGTAGATGATACATTTAACTCACAATATAATATTCACTTTTCTCTTGAATAAATCTCTGTGTATATTTTTAAAGTTTATTATTCTCCTGGTAGGGAGCAGTTTGGCAGCGCCCTCTATTGACCAGCCTGCACTGCTTACTAATCTTATGTAGTGCTTACTTTACAGTGCAGTGTTTTGTGAACTTGTGTCTGTGCAGCATGAAGAATGTTTACAGTTTACAGCTATTTCAGTTCTACTTCTTCATTGAAACAATGTGAGTTTTGTCAGCTGCACCTGTATTCGCTTTTGGCACCACTCTACACACGTGGCTCCACATCAACAAGGGTTTGGAAATCTTAAGGATTACAACTCTAAGCAGGTTTCATCTCAGGCCTCAGCAAAAGCTCCTTTCTCTACTTAACTAAAATAAAAAAGTATGCACATTTCAAAAATTCTCTGCTCCACACAAATAAATGAAATCAGCCCAGCTGACTTCAGACTGTAATGCTTTGTTAGGAACCTAAATGTTTCTGAGGTTACTCTGAGCAGGGCTTCAGCCATGGCACCTGTAGAGGAGTAATTCAGCACCAGAGTGAGATGATGACATCGTCCAGGTGAGGTGTCCTCTCTCAATGTTCCTCTTCCTCACTTCCTCTTCCACCTGTCTGCATCCACATACATATTTATCACCCTGTGCACACTGGAGGCTAGCATGTCGTTTGCGTCCATACTGTAGATGCTGTATGCACTGATAGCATGCACACTGCTACGCACACTGCTACACACACACACACACACACACACACACACACACACACACACACACACACACACACACACACACACACACACACACACACACACACACACACACACACACACACACACACACACACACACACACACACACAAACAAATTGGTCTATAATAACCCACGTGCATGCATGTGCACCTGAAACATGGCAGTTGTGCTTTAAAAAGACATACAAACATGTTATGACAATGAGATGGGGAGGTAGGGGGTGTGCATGAGATGGCAGAAAAACAAACCAGCTGGTTGGTTGACCATGTTTCGCTCCATGCATGTCCACATATATGAGCTTCCTGGAGCTATGCTGTCCTCTCTGTAGTGTGTGGTGTGTCCCCCAGCAAGTGCACATGACTTGAGAGAAGTCCAGGGGAGAGCTGAGGTTTGTCTTCAGGGGGTGAAGTCTTTTCTGAGGGTTGACAGTCATGTCTCTGGTCAAACAGAGGCAAAATGTGTCCATGAGCTGAAGGAGAGAGAGATGGAGGGGCTGGATGTTGAGAAGATTGTGCCTCTTCACTTCTTGTTGGCGATTCGTCTCTTTCTGGTGGCCAGCATGTCGTAGAACGGGTCTCTGCTGATGCTTGCCCTGCAGAAGAAGCCAATCAAAGGACAGCGATGAGATAAATAATAAGGCCACATGAGAGGAGGGTCTCAAGCATCTTTGATATGGAAATGTAGGCACATTTATACAAACCCCTGCCTAACAAGATCAAAAAAAGAACAAAGTTTGTGCAGTGACCTAGTTTGGTTTCCATGGTTTCTGAAGAGGAACCCCCTCCCTCTCCTAAGTTTTTCCAGTATACAGAAACCTCCTAAAGAACTCTTCAGAGCATGTAGTGTAACACACAAACATACTAACTCTGCCACCTGCACATCCACAACTGAAAGAAAGTGGACAATGTTGCTGAAGATTATTGACTCCTGTGCGTTCTCCTGCTCCCCTTCTTTTAGAGCGACGCAAAGGCAGCGTACAATGAGAGCGTGTGAGTCAGGAAGCCATTCGGGCTCTACTGAGGAGCCCAGTTTCACGGCTGCTAAATCCTGTTAGCACCGGCACAAAGCAAGAAGAGGCTCAACCCCCCCCACTGTGGATATCTCTGATTCCCTTTACAACTCCACGCGCAGAAGAATGAAGCCGTGTATGATGACTATCCCGCTCTTTCATGCTGCTCATTGTCATTTTGCACAGCCCAATTTCATGAAACAAAAAGTCCATTGTGGAGGGATCAACTCCAAGCACGGCTGCAGTGACTTATACGACGTAACATTTCCTCCACTTTCTGCCTGTAAGAATGTGCAAAAGCCAAATGTTTTTTTATAGAATCAAAAAATAATGAACATGCAGACACATGCATCTCACTATTACTAACACGCTGCAGGAATTTATGAGGATGAGCAGCCTACTTCCTCCATTGGTCCGGTTGGTCCACAATCATCTGGGTCAGTGTGTTTGTGACTGAAGTTAAGAAGATAAGAGCGCTGCTTCTGTGATCATCTCCACTTTAGAAGAAGGGGGAAAATCCTGATTTCCATAAAACGCCTTTTTATCTCCCCAGACCCAGAGTCCTCTTAGACCCCCTCTGGTACAGCTGCACAAGCTGTGGCTCGTTAGCCTCCCTGGCTGCGAACACATCGGCCCCAGTTTGGAGCAGCTTCTCCTGGATGGGTTTGTTGGGTTTGCTGGCTCAGCCTCGGGGGTGCTATAAGCAGTGACTAATCCTCCATCATATCCCCAGTGAATACTCTCGGAGAGTATGGAGAGAAGGGGGAGGAGGGGGTTGCACTATATTACAGTATAGAAGTGTTCTGTTCTGCTGAGCCAACTCTCTTTGACATTGCACCATCTTCAATGCAGGCGATTACAGAGCAACATTTAGGTCACTGACAGAGAGGTTATTACAACTGAGAGCTACAGTATGGAGGCTATCTAACAGAATAAAACCCACACCTTTAATATCTGTTGTTTTATCACAATACCATGTTTGACAAAAGGTACATATTTTAATGTTTTTAAAGGTTTTGAACCCATATTGACACTGCCAGGCGCCCGCATCCCTGAACGTGCATTAGAGATGATGGTGGGTGGTTTCTGCCAAAGCTTGCTGTTAACCTCTGTTTCCAGTCTTTGTGCCAAGCTAAGCTAATCAGTTGTCCATCTTCTCAGATTATATTTCACTAAACCATGTTTGGTTTTCATTCAGGTCCATTTGTCTGACAGAAAAGCTACATAGTTTAAGAGTGGATGAGTGGTATGGTAGACGTTTTCCCACATGTTTTGTTTGTTTTGGTGCTGTGACGAAGACAAACATTACAGACATAAAATTAAACTCCAAATAATGGACTGCAAGAATATGAATAAAAGCTTACAAGTGAAATTTCAGGTATCATGTTCCTGGACTAAAACTTTCTGAGGATGGTTGAAAAGTTTGGGGAATTTACCAAGAGCTGTATGAGAAGACTGATTCAAAAGAATCTTAGCAAAGAGCATGGACACATTTGGAAGAGCTAGCTTTTGTCCAAAGTCAACTAAACTCATCCCCCTCAATCATCTATACTTTGCAATGCACCTCTTAAATCTATACAACAGTCAAGTAGAAACAAGTGTTTCTTCACCAGGTGCAGTAAAAATGAATTTCTGAGTTTTCACAAGGTCACATGTGTATTAATCAGTGTGAAAAAAAAAGCTTAAGCTAACTGTTGGTAAAGAAAGTGAGTAAATGTGGATCAAAAACCTTCAAAGTTATGCTTTGAATGTATTTGTGAGGAGTCTTACTTTATGGATTTAATCCACTCCTCTTTCTCCTCTGGCGTTGGCGCTGATATCCTGTACACCACGTGGTTTCCCTCAACAACACGACCATCTGCCTCCGTCTTACAGGCTTTGATCACCTGGCCTTTGTGATTGGGGTTATAGAGCTCAAAACAATTCTGGAGGAAAGAAAAAAAAAACATTATTACGCGAGTAATACTTTGAGATAATTAGATTTTAATGTGCCATAAACAAAGTAACGGAGGAGAAAAAGACGCTTGACAAATGATCTGAGGGCAAAGTCTTTAATGAGGCAACACTCACAGGTTTCCTGGGCTCCTCCACCTCCCTGATGCTGAGATTCTCTAGAGGGATGATCCCACGGGGCTCCTTGTCCTAAAGGAGAGAGAGGTGAGAAGGAGAAACATGAGAGGAGGGAGAAAAACAACCTAAATAGAGTAAAAAATGGAGAGGAACTGGTAGCAAGGTAAGAGCCAGGCAAACAAGAGTAAATATAGATGATGAAACTAGCAAAGAGAAATCCCCCCCTCTCTGTCCTCTCTCTTTCCAAACAGCAGATAATGTGTGTGTGAGCAGTCAGACCAGAGGACAGGACATAATGATAGTGTCCTGGAGGATAATACCAGGCCTGAGAGAGGACATTGCTGATGTAGCAGATAGCAGGACACAGAGGCTCTGATAGAAATCCAACAGCACATATAAACGTGTTCTTATGGAAGTGACACAGTTCATCAAACACAAAAGAGAGTAAAGATGAATAGATTCTCTTGATAGCAGCAGGGTCAAGCCTTTTTACTGTAACCTCCCACAAGTAATATTCAGGGGAATACATACTCTGATGACCAATACACTGGTCACTGCAAAAACTTTGCAAGTCTGTTTGTCTATTTTCTACTCAATTATATTTAATTACACTTATATGGACATTATATGTCACATTTACCAATTTGCTTGCCCCATTGATTGACAGTTTACTTATTACAAGCAATGCAGGCTGCAGCCAGCCAGTAGAGGGAGCGCCAAATGTTTTGGCTTCACTTTTCGGAAGTTGTAATGTCATCCATTTTTATATACAGTCAATTTTCCAGACCAAGTTAGGGATAGCGTCATTAACCATGTAATATGAAATGACAAAAGAAAGGATAATTTTATTGTGTATGAATTGCAATTTTCATAGGATGTTAAATGTCTTGTTTCCTGTTTCAAAATAAAGGAATACAGTCAAACAACTTACCTCAGGTCAGCTGTGTGGACAAACAAACACAAATGCTTGCAAAAAGACACTTTACTGAGCAAATGGTTGTCTTAGTATGACACTCACTGTTGTGTATTCAAAGTAGTAGAGACAGTTGTCGGTCAGGATGAACCACCTCCTCTTCCAGGTTTTCACTCGGCCCCCTGACAGGAAGAAAGAGAGGAGACAGGAAGTGTCACAAAAGGTCACACTGACAGACTGGCTGTCTCCCATCAGGAAAAAGAGCTGGGATGTCACAATAATTAATGGCGCAGGAAAACATCCGTTTAATTTCCCCCTTTTTTTGGCTCCTTTAAAAGATGTGACATTTTTAAAGCGGCATAAGGTTGTTAATGCAAACGCAGACCTCCATTCTTGATACACAAAGAACAAAAAATACATTTTACAGTTTCCAGCTAACGGCTGTAATTAGATTCCCTGTGCAACAAAGGCTGCCCTTCATCAACCACATGATCAGGTCATGTGAAAATGAGCAACATACGTTAAACTTAACATCCTATATGGGCAGTAAATGCCATGGAAAAGTCAATTAGAGTGCACAGTTCTCTGACTTTGTATTGTACATCCAGTCCTGTCATTAAGTGGCAAAATACTGCATGTTCCAGTTTTCTGAAATATTAAAAATATGAAGTCTGAGACAAGCTGGTAGTGGGTTTGTTTTTTTGTTCTGTAAGTGGATTTGCATGCAAAATGTTGCTGCTGAGAGTTGTCTCCTAATTGTCTTGTTTTTGCTGCTTTCAGGCTTTTTCTCTCCACGAGTTCCCTCTAAAAGCCGATATGAGATCCTCTGTACTGCTTATCTGATAAAAATGGGGATGCAACCTGCTGGAAAAAAAAAGTAATTTGAAAGGAAAAAGCTGCATCCCTTCCAAATCTGGTTTATATTGTGTTTCAAGCTAAAGTAAGAACATTTTTCACACAATACGGCTGGAGGTTGAGGTATAAACTTGTGCTGCAAAGATTCTTAATTATGCAGGCAAGGCAAGCCAGTAGAATAAAGGAGAACGTGATAACAATCAAACCCCTCTATCTCTCCTAACTCTGAGTATAATGTATAACTGAGCTTTGTTAAGAGAAGACTCAGGCAGCTGATAAATTATTCCTGACTTTGCCTATTCATTTTTAAAAGGCAACAGGATAAAACCTCAGAAGAGAGGTGCAAACAGTGCTTGATAAGAACCTAACCTGGCACCTAAAGCCCCCCTGAAGGAACACACATGTAGACAGAGACATTAAAGCAGCGAAACTAACACACACACATTTAACCCCAAAGCAAGTTCAAGCCCTCACGTGTTAACTTGTGCAAACTACGTGCAAAAAAAAAAGCAAAGAGACAAAGCTAGCATAAATGTCCGACACATTTGTTTGGAGCAGGAGTCGGCCTCTGGCAGTGACTGCAGAGTTGGAGGGAAGCAGAATTGCTCCAGAGATGCTGAAAAAGCTCTTTTAGTGGAAGACACATGTATGGTGTGCACATGCACGCTATGAGAAAATCATGTTCAAAGGCACAAAACAAGAACGTGCACATGAACGACACAGTTTCTCATGTTGACATCCTGTGTGTGCTTTGACCTAGCATTCCTGATTAGTTCCTGTCAACACAAACCACCCCTTACGGTCAGAACACTTTCTTTTACTGCAACATCCCCAGTTTTCTGGGCGCCTTGCATGAGCCCATGTGGGCCACACACATAATTGCAAAAGCTCTGAGTTCCCTTACATTTCAACAGACTCTGGGTATTGAATTAGCATGTCCAAATTTCCGCTCAGCATACAGAGAGATTAGCTAAAACAGGCATTTATTCCTTCACATCCTCCAGGCTTTATTTTTAGAGAGTTAAATTAGAAATATTATAGTGAGAACTGGTGCGGGGAATGGCTCTGGGGAGGAAGCGTACTGGAATGTAATCATGTTAGGTCTGTGAGCCACAATGGGGCTATTTGCATTCATACTCACTAGTTTGATGAGACAACAGAGACGCTGCCCAGAGTTGGTGGAATGTGCAGGTCAGGGCCAGTGTGTGTGTGTGTGTGTGTGTGTGTGTGTGTGTGTGTGTGTGTGTGTGTGTGTGTGTGTGTGTGTGTGTGTGTGTGTGTGTGTAATAAACCTGACCTCCTGCAGAGAGTTTGCTCTTTCACCTTTGACAAACTATATAAAGGCTACCAACACTTTTATGGTGAATAATAAATTTAGAAGTGTTGGGAAAGTTAAGGCGATGAGATGTATCGTAGGTATGTCGAGGCTTGCCACAGCAGCAGGAGGAGATTTGTTTTAATGTGGTGTGAATAGCAGAGCGACAGAGCCAGGACCAAATCAGAAACATGTGTAAATAAACAGGGAACAAATGGTAAAACAGCAGATATTAGGACAAAAAAACTACATTACCTCACTGGGAAAGCATATACAACAATCCAATCCCTGGAGCACACACACACACACAAATAATTACACTGAGTTCCTCCCCAAACTACATTAAGAGGATTTTCACAAGTCCAAATGTGTTAACTATGCGCACACACGCACAACTGGCCTGCAACAAGTTTCACACATAAGTAGTTTTCCTAAGAACTGAGTGTCCTGTGAGAATGTGCATACCTCATGCATATTTCAGACTACTGCCTGCACAATGTAAGAAAAATATGTCATGTGCGTTAACTGCAGTTTGACATTAAAGATATTAAACTCTTGATCTCATTTTAAACCTTAATTCTTTTAAACGTCATCAGGTGTCAGCCCTTAAAACAAAGTGATTTACCATTTTACGAGAGCACGAGCGACATTAACCTCCCTCAGCCGTGAGAATAGAGCCACAGTTGTATTTGTGGGAAATAGTGGGAGAGTAACCAAATCAAGTCATCATCCAGGATGTTTTGCATTCCCTCAGCAGGGGAATGCACGGAGACGCACACTAACCTAATTTCAGCAGCCAGCCTTCTCTGTCTGGGTTGAAGAAGGTGTGCGTCAGGTCGTTCCCGTCATCCTCTGGGATCTTAAAGGGTTCGCTCTTGATGCTGTCGTATAGATTCTGCACAAGAAACAGGGAGCAGAAAAATGGAGAACATTATAGAATATGCAGTTGAGCACGCAGACGTTTTTAACCTCCAAACATTGAACCCAGCCTTCAGATTAACGGTGCATTAAATAAGACATTGACAGATTCTATTTCAGTGTCTCGGAGTGAGAGACAATGATTCATACTTCAGGGACTCTGGGAGCTCTTTAACAAAAAAAGAGTCTTTTGAAACTCATCTGAGGGCACTTTGGTTCAGACGACAGCCTACAGAGTGCAGCTAAACGAACCTGTTTTTTTTATATTTTTCATGAGAGATCATGGAGAATCATTAGCATCAGTATCTGGGGAGGAGACTTGATTCTGCCACGCTGCAGATGTCTCAATAAGTGAAGCATGACTCTTTGCTGTTATCACTCATGCACTCCTGAACATTTCTAGAAAAGACATGTAGTCGAAAGAAATGCTGCTCATTCCTAGATTTCAAGATGGATGGATGGAGCTACATCATCTGACACTAAAATTACAAGTTTTTGGCCTTTATATCATATATATATCATCTATATGGAGACATAACTGGACATATTCTCAATATCCAAGAGTGGAAAAGAACATAGTGATGAACAGGAAACATAATGAAGCAGCTTCACCACTTGCAGGAAGATCACACCGGTCGCACACTGGTCGAGTGATATTCATCATCGCTCTTTTTGTAAATTTTCCAGAATATGACCCACCTTGTTCTCATTTCAGCTCTCCCCGACTTCATGCAAAACATTTTTAAAAAATTTATTTTGGGGCTTTTTGTGCCTTTATTCGAGAGATAGCACAGTGGACAGAGTCGGAAATCAAGGAGAGAGAGAGTGGGGAATGACACGCGGAAAAGGAGCCACAGGTCGGATTTGAACCCTGGGCCGCCCGCTTGGAGACCTACAGCCTCCATACATGGGGCGCGCGCACTAACCAGTGGGCCACCAGCGCCGCTCATGTAAACTTTTAACCAGGGGAGCATGCAGGAAAAAAGTTTGTGTGTAAAATTCTGCTGTTTGTGTTCACAGGTGCAGCCCGACCCTGGAAACATTCTGTGCATGTATGTAAACAGATTCTCCTTTAACTGCTGGAGAACATCCTACATGTTTCTTTGTGTTCTAAATCATAAAAACAGCTTTTATTAAAAGCAGCACCTTCACTGAAGCAGTACTTACCAAGGTTTCCCTGCACCATGTTTCAGATTCACTGGATATATTTGTCACACCTAACAAACTAATAAAGACGTATCTCTCACCCTGAGTAGCTCCTCTGGGAGGTCTCCCCCCTCATTGATCCCTCTGTTCATGGAGATGAAGCGCTCCACGGGGGGCTTGTCTCTGACGTTGGGATTGTGCAGACTCGTGTTCAGCATAATGATGGCAAAGGATAAGACATAGCAGGTATCTGTGGAGGCAGTTACATGGAGAGTCACAGTGAAACATCAAATGCAGCACAACCAGAGGCTCTGTGTGTGTTAGAACATGTGACATATAGGCACCGGTTCCTATACATTTGAGTGTATTGTCATGTATTTTTTAATACTGGTTCATGTGGAGTTCTGTATCTGAAATGATTTTATGACATGGCTCCTCACAGAAGATATGTTCAAGTGCTGTACTTCAATAGTTCCCAACCTCTTCTCCCTTGGAGCGACCCCCCCTACTTGTATGAAAAGTTGAGCGCCTCGAGGACCCACAGGAAAAAAAAGCAATACATTGCTTTCTGAAAAAAACATGACATTTTATTTACCATTATTTTATATGTGCAAATCTCATTTTAACAACCTCAAAGCATGACCCTGATGAAGGCTACAAGCCGAAATGCGTCGGTCTAATTTGTTAATAAAGTTGATCTTCATACTACAAGTGTTGACGGAGCTTTTTGACCTCTTCAAGCCTTTCACTCTCCATGCACCTTGATAGTTGGTGAAGATGTTGCCAGAAAATCCCACTCTACAACCTCCGAGCAGACAGAGCCTCATGCCCGCACTGAGATCTCAGGGAGAGCCAATGCTCTAGCTCATAATTTGTTAATCTGTCTGTCCTCCTGCCGAGGAGGACTAGGATTAAAAAGACGAGACTTTGTTGTAATTATACTAATGTGCAAGAGAACAATGTGAAAATGTCATGCTGCTGTCTGAACGATGCAGTTTGTCTCGTTGTGTTTGTCTCGTTTTGTTTGTTTGTTCATTTATGTGACCTGGTATGCTTTAAAAATGAACTTCTAATCTAGTATTAATAAAGTTAATAAACCTGAATCTGGACGGGTGTGGAAGTGACTGAAACTTTTGATTGTTTTTCATTCTGCATTGATAAAATCATCGACTTCATAATAATGAACCTATTTTAAGATTTTATTTTAAAATTAAACCTAAAAGAGTTTCCAAAAATCAAACAAAAAATGGATCCGATATCCGTCCTTCTTCCTCTAATTTATTAAAGTATGTATGTAGGTATGTCGATGACAGCTCAACGCTTTCAATCAACGGATTTTCCTCATCATCAAATTTAGGACTCCCTCTAATAAACTGGAATTTAATCAACAAAAAGCCACATATTCTGGGACAAAGAATCATGGCGCCCTCTAACGCCCCGTGCTGCAGTCAAATCCTAATGTCCCTGCAGTCATGAACACACTCACAAATACAAATCCATGATCCGCTGCTCCTGCGACTCCACACCATAACTCCTGCTAACCATCCTCTACCTCATCCATCCACAGCCAAACAGCTCCAGTCATACGCTGTGATTTATGACCCTGAGCGCTCCGGTCCTGAGAGATGACCAATAACTAAGACTGGGTGTGCCACCACTGCACCACATCAATATTCACGACCTGAGCTGTCAAAACTGTGTCCTCCTCGACACACGCTCGCTTCACACAGGAGCAGCATGTGGCGTGCAACAGTCTCTAGCAAGGCGGCACTAATGACCACTATTGACCTGTAATCAATTTCATTATCACTGCTGGAGACATGTGTAGTGATTACTCTGCGATTAGCGAGCAGGCTGCTAACCAGGCTGGGGAACTGAGAAGTATACAGACCAATGAAGCAAAGAATAAGAGAATAAGCCTCCATCAGAACCATCAACATCTCTGAGAGCTGATATATTTGTTGACAGATAGAGTTCATGTTCTCCAGAGTTTCGGAAAATCTCCAGAAATGTGGCCACAAGAGGAAGATTTATCCGCTCCAAGCAGGTCCAGCAGTCTGCTTTAGGAAGACAGACAGTCAGAGGCATTGATCTGACGCTGAGCTGGTCTGTCCTGGCCTGTCTCCCTGAGTCTGACTCATAAATATAGTGCTGTGTGTGTGGAGTTTGCGTGTGTGTGTGCGTGTGTGTGTGTCTGTGTGGCTGTGTGGTTAAGGTACCTGTCGACTGGAAGACGCCGGGATTGCATTGGCAGTACCTGGAGGCAAAGGCCTCCATCATACGATCAATCTTCTGGGCCTCGCCAGGAAGTCTGAAGCTCCACAGAAACTGCCTGCAACAGCACAAACACAGAGAGAGAGAGAAATTATAAAGACAGCCTTTGAAATATTGATGCATATGTCAATTAAATTATACTGACAATTAAAATCTCAATATATCTAAGCTGTGTTTTATATTTACTTTAAGAGGTAAAGAACCTATGGGGCCTAGTGTTCAGTGCGTACAGACTTTAAATGTGTGTAAAGCACATTGAAACAAAATCATTTCCTTTTTTAAGTGAGATCATTGTGTTGTTGCCAAAGTGGCCTTCATAAAATCCTGTTGTGGGAGCGCTGATAGCCTATTGGTTAGTGCTTGCGCCCGCTTGGAGGCTAAAGACCTATAAGCGGGCGGCCCAGACTCAAATCAGACCTTTGGTTCCTTCTTAATGTCACTCCCCACTCTCTCTCTTTCCCCGATTTCTGACTATCCACTGTCATAAAACCTTCAACAAATCCTCTGTTGTGATTAAAGAAACAGATGCTAAGGTTTTTAGTGTCTGTTTAGCCTTTAAAATACCTAAGAATAAAACTAGACACCAAATGCAGGAAGGAATTTAAAATGAGCAAGAATGATAGCAAACTTTTTATTTTAAACATTGTGCGATTTTTGGTTGTGGTCTCACCTTAAGGCCTGCACGAGGTTGAGGTCTGCAAACTCATGGAGCTCCACGAACGCATGAAGGACCTTGATGTTGAAGTCATCCCTGGAGGAGAAGAGGGGCTCAATGTGACACATGTTCAAGTATTTACACTCTTCATTAAAACAGAACAGGAAGATGAGACACTAAACTGTTTGAAGGGGATTGCTTTGGTAATGCACTGCAAGGATAAATTCATAAGCTTTGGAGGTCATAGTTGAAGTGCAGCCATGTGTTACATCAGCACCAGTTTCAGGGAGAAAGTCACTTTGTCCTCAGAGCCAGGCAGCATAGAAACCTCTGTTGTTTTGACAGTCATACCCCCTTGATTTCCCTTCGATAAGAACCACATGTCGGCTCCGTTATTTCAATGGCACGGTGCTCCTGCCGCTGCTTTGCTCCATAAATCCAGACCAGCAATTTCCTGGGGCTTTTATGCCCTCGTCTGAGCGTGTGCGGTGCAGATCTGACAGAGAGATCGAGAGAGGAAGAAGAAAGGTGGAAGAAAAACAGAGGGAAATCTGGAGAGCTCACCGTTCCCCTAAGTAGTCCCCGATGACTGTTTTGTTGAGCCCTTCGCCTTTGTAGAGGAACTGAGAGATGTCCTCTGGGGTGTTCTGGAGAAGATCGTTCTCTAACAGAAACTGGATCCCCTGTTGGAAAGAAAAAAGACACACTTACACTTCAGTTACCTATTTGTAAAGGTCATGACCCCGGCCTCCTCCATGTTAACAGATGGGCCAAGAGTCAAACTATAAAATCAAAATAGACATTAAATACAATTTCAAACAGTTCTGTCATGATAGTTCGCAGATTTTTGTTTGATTTTTATGGAGAATTAGAGATGCACTGATTCACTTTTTTTCATTTCCGATCCGATTTCGATCTATAAGTACTAATAATCGGTGGAAATAAAAGGCCTTTTATATTTTTCCAACCATCCTGGATTATTTCCTCCACTTTTTTGACACAAGAATCTGTTCTGCTATGGGTTGCACCAACCTGAGAGATCTTTGACGTTATATCGGTATGTAACATTTTGTTAGCTTGTGACATCAGTGACATCATGTGCAATATGTAAGCGCCCGTCAAGGGGATCATTTTGGCCTCATCTTTGCACAAGGGGTGGAGGTTGAGGCAGACGGTCTATCTTTATATACAGTCTGGTTTTTCCTACATACACCAAAGCCTGCTGTTACTCTTCATAAATGTGAGGGAGGATGTCATTCAGGGGGCTCAATTCAAATGTTACAGTGTCGTTTAACAGTCAGTGTTATCAAGGCTGACAAGGACTACGTTTACGGGAAGGCCTGACCTTTTTCGGGTCCATGTTGAACTTCTTCCTCCCCATGGCGATCTGTTTATTTCTTTGCGTTGTTTTGCTGCAATAAAAAAACAAACAACAACACACAAACATCAATGTCATGACAGTTAGGGGGTGTGGTGTCGCCTCCTGCTGTTGTGTTTGCTCAGTAAGTCAGTTTGTTTTGGGTTCTTCCAGGACGTAGCATGACTGTTTGTGTTCTAGTCTGACAGGTGAAGAGTGAGCATACAGCAGGGTTAAACTGAAAAGAAAAAACACTCCTGCATGTCATGTGCTATCACCTGTGCTGCACTTATGCACGAGTGAATCTCTCTCAGTTTAACACATCCTGCAGCCAGTCGGAGGAACATTTCTCATTTTAATGTCACTCTCCTTCAAAACAAAATTTTGCATTCGCCCCGCAGGGAAATCTCCACCTTTGTGTCTGTTCACTCCCCACGCTTCCTGTGTGCTCAAAATAGCCCCGGCCCCTTTGCCAGCTGCACCTGAGACACACACACACACACACACACACACACACACACACACACACACACACACACACACACACACACACACACACACACACACACACACACACACACACACACACACACACACACACACACACACACACACACACACACACACACACACACACACACACACACAGCCTGACACACGGCCTCCTCACTCCACCTCATCAACCAATCCAATGAAAGCGTCTGAATACAGACTGTTTGGCTAATGGTTAGTCAAGGGACTGTCCCGCTTCACTCCTCAAACAAAGAGGGATTAACACACACATACACACTAACACACACACACACACACACACACAAATACAGTACCAGAAGGACAGGTGTGAGGCTCTGACCACATGGCGATTGGTTTTGAGGAAAGAGAAATTACATTTTTCTGGATTGATTAATGAAGAGAAGATTTCTACATAACAATTAAAGATCATTTAATCGTATTTGAAGCCGAGTATTTAAAGATTTTCTTTGGGTTTGAACTATTAGTCATACAAAACAAAAAGACTCACTTAAGTTTACAGGGATTGGTGATGGATGTATTTCATGGTTTTCTGACATTTGCCAGGCTGAGCACTTTAGAGCTACAGAGATAAGCTGAGTACTTACAGCTTTACCATCCAATGAAACGGTATCATTTCAATTTGTATACGTTATTTTAGTTACACTTTCTAAAAGCTGCTGATTATCTGTGACTGGTCCTCTCTTCCTGCTTTTAGACTTCCTGTGAACACCTGTCTGCTTTTCATTTGTCACCAAACTTTGCCGATGTTTTCAATTCAATGTTCGGTGGGTTCATTTCACATCCCCTCACAGGTTGTTTTTTTTTTGTCCCACCTGTGAATTTTTTGTATGATGATGTCTTTTTCTGTTTTCATTTCTATGTTGTTGTTTTTGTCAGAAATAAATCACTATGATTAAACTCTAGATCTTCAGGTGCTGTGCTTTTTATTTAACAAGATTAGAGAGGTGAATTTGTAATCCTCTTCTGTGGAAAACGATCAAACAATAAACCAAACAAAAATACATTTCAAGAAACTTCTGCACAGTCTCTCTTGAAAGAATTCTTGTGTTTTAATGGTACAGAAGGTACAGAACTGAAACATTCCCAATAAATGTATTTTTGCACATTAGATTGTGCAGGAGTTTGCTTGCAACTTTTGATGCTTATTCCTTTCCTTTAAATCTATTGAAGAAACAGATGTGCAACATATTTTCTGTGGACATTTTATAGAAAATGGCCCTCATTGTAGAACAATCAGAAGATTAATCGATAATGAGAGTCCTCCAACAATTCTTGAATAAGTGAAAAAGAAGAACTCACCTCTCTCCTACACAGGTTAGCTGCTCGATCTCAGTCATCACCTCGGCAATCTCAAACTTCAGCCGCTGCAGAAAGAGAGACAGCAAAATGTTACTTATTTCAAACATTATAAATGGAGCTCTGCACTAACAGAGAAACACTTTCCAAGATGTTCCTATACTGATAATTACATACTTTTTAATTATCCTGATGAAGGGGTTTCTTACAGTTAAGGTTGTGAGTTGATAGAAACATAGAGATATGTGATAGGATGGTGTGTGCATGGAAAAATATCACACATAGAGCAATCAAATCAAGGGTCAATTCCCAAATGCAATATTGTCCAGCATTGCATCAGATATGTCTCCAACATTTGCAACACTTAGAATAACTTTCTGCAATTAAAACAAACGAGAAAAATATTTTCTTTCCACCATCACTCACTTCAATATCATCCAGAAGCTCTTTTTTCCTGCGCCGTATGTTCGACAGCTCATCTCGTTCCTCCAAAGAGAGGTCCTCAGGTACTGCAAAAACACAGAGAGACGGGGAAAATGAAATAGCATGTGTCTGTGTGTGTGAGAGAGAGAGAGCGTGGAAGAGAGGGAGGGGCAGAGTTATGTGGATGGATTAAATTAATTCACCTTCCAAGCAGCCAGTCAGAGTCACAGGGATTAAGTCTGACAGTGCATACCTCTTCAATGAATCCAAGCAGAACACATTAGTCATGACCTACATAAGTACACTAACGCACAGGAGATCATCGTCGCTCTCAGATAAGGTCAAAGGTCACAGCAATATGCTCCAGGATTTAAGGTGAAGGTAGATCAAACAGGTTTTTTTAATCATACGATTCAGGTAGCCTGTTTTCAAAATGTAAACTCCCTCTTCTTAAAGTGGTATGAGCCTCAAACGTCCCGGCCGGGTCCATTGGACTTGTGGAACTGTTTGGTCAGTGCTGGTGGCCTGTGTGTGTGTACAGCCATGCAAGCGCCTGCACACGGTTTGGATGAAAGGAAAGGAGAAGAAAAGAAGGGAGCTGGTGAAGGTGTTTGACCCCAATAGTAACTAGTTAAACTTTTTCTCAGTCAGCAGATGGCAGATCACTGCATGTGTGTCACAAGCATTTCCTCTTATACTTCACACTTATACAGTGTACAGTATAAACACTTAGACACCTTTTATACAGGTGTGTTTCTAGGAATGTGTACCTTGTTTTTTTAAATACGTGTCGTTGTTTTTAAGGGGGCCTGATCTGAGAGGAACAGATTTTTCTCCCATTTATGATGAGTGTTAGTGTTTATTTTTTAGTGATAAATTTAATCTTAAATGAAACCACACAGTGATGACTCATCCTGAGGTGTGTTTGCTATCTCTTTCAATGAAACACTTTCTTTGATGCAAACATCCCCGCCCTTTGACACACAGGACCTACAACTTTGAACTGGCAGGTATGAGTTGTCTTTGAGTTTGTGTTTGAATGTCCTCGATTGCAGCGTTATTGGCTGTTGTAAATATCAATCGATATACATGTGCAACAAGTCCCTCCCTCACTTTCTGCTTTTACAGGAAACTATTTAATATGCAAGACAATTAGAGCTCAGCTAGCTGTTTCATGGTAACTTTAGGTCAAATGAAATCTCTTTCTATGTGTGTATATTTGTATAAATGTTCAAATATGAACGTGCAGGTATTTCTTTTGCTGGAAAAATCTGTGTGAGAAGTTGAATTTCCGACCACACAGCACAGTCTTACACCCTGAAACCACAGAGGAGGTTTGTGATTAGATAAAAGCCACAGTTGAGGAAGAAGTTTCCCACGAGAATTTTCTTCAAGCCAAATGAAAACCACAGAAACGTCCCTGTTAAAAAGCAGATCAGTGCCATGAATAACATCCTGTGTGTCTGACACACACACACACACACACACACACACACACACACACACACACACACACACACACACACACACACACACACACACACACACACACACACACACACACACACACACACACACACACACACACACACTGTATAAGCCATGCATGCAGAATATACACTTCACACACATGATATTTATTTTATTCTGCACTGAGGGACCCCTTAGAGCCACCTACTTATCGTTCATTTAACCATGCCACGTCAACCTCTTCCCCCCCAGAACCCTTGGAGGACACCCCCCCCTCCTCCACACATCAGAAAACAGCAATCCAATAGAGAGTGGGCTGACGGGAAGTAGGTCATTTTCACATGGAGCTATACCAGATTGTGCTTCTCCTACGCTGTTTCTCTCTCTCTCACGCGCACACAAACACACTCACTCACGCACACACACTCCCCCTCTATCTCACTCTTTGTCCGCCTACACCACGCTGCTTGAAGTGGGGGTGAGAGCGGAGTCAAATCCCCCCCGACTGAATCATAGCACTAAGCAGCTTTGCAATTTTTTTTTTTCCATCCCCGTTGTTTCCCCCTCTGACTGTAAATAATAGGGAAAGAAAAAGTGAAGTTATTTCCTCTTTATCTACACCCTCCATCTCTCTCAATCCTTCCCTCTCCTCCGTCTTGCTCTGTGAGACAAAGTGACAGAAGCAGCATGGACCATTAGGTTGTAACGTTCTGAGGGCCTTGAGCTCATGTTATCACAGGAGAGCAGCCAGTCAACGGAGCGGGGATCCAGATGGGTGTGGATGGCTTTTTTAACTGTTTGATCATTTGTCCCACACACACACACACACACACACACACACACACACACACACACACACACACACACACACACACACACACACACACACACACACACACACACACACACACACACACACACACACACACACACACACACACACACACACACACACACACACACACACACACACACACACACACACACACACTCCCACACAGTTTCTACATGAACTTCTACAATACAAAACACAAAATAAGGCAGAGAAAGGAGATAAAACCTGTAAACCTGTTATACAGGATTTAAAAGTAGAAAAAGTGTGATTGTAATGTGGTCACCCAGCATTGTGCACTTGATTGATGTCTTACACTTAATTTGTCAGAATATCTTCAAAATTTTCTTACTGGCTCGATAGCAGTTAAGAAAAAATCTTACAGATCAATAGAGGTGTAGATAATAAACGTCATCTGCCCAGCAGACAGAACTAGGAGCTATACTTATCAGAACCATATGATGTATAAAATATGGATGTAGTCACAGTGATGTCACCCATTTGTGTCAGAAGAGGCGTTATGAAGCCCGACGATGATGGTCGCCATATTGGAAATGCTGACACAACCTAACTTTTGATCAATATAGAAAGCGACAAAGAGGTGGAGCTGAGTGCGGACTTAAGTCTCTTTGAAAACATCTTCAATGCATCCAACCGTCAGTCACACCTATAACTATGCAAAAATATGCATAATTCTTAACTCTTGATATAAAAGGAACAAATGCAGTATTAACTCATTTCCTTTATACTGTACAGGGTATTTTTTTAAATAACTCACATCTAGGCAAACATTTGCAGCATAAGGGGCGTGCTGAGAGAACTCACAGGAAGCTTGTTTGGACTTCAAAACTCAGATTCAGAAACCAATGGGTGATGCGTCCATATTTTATACAGTCTATGGTTGGGCCGATGAAAAAGTGTGCAGAAAAGAAAGTCATGGCCTCTAAATTGATAACTTTTCAAGGAAAACAGAAGTCCTGGAAAATATATCTCATTATAAAACTGTAAAACTACTATTAGAAAAAGTATTCAAGTTTCAAAGTGAATATAGACTCAGCAAACAAAACGATTTCGAGAAATTGTCCATAGCAACCACTAAATTCAGTCTCTATAGCTTGTAGTCAATTTGTGACTGCAAATCAAAATGTAAACTGTAAAATCTTAGTTTTTTTCTAAATGTCCATGCAGCATAAATTTGCAGTAATGGACCCATAGAGGAGCTTGTGTTGGGTTTAAATGGATAGAATTGAAAAACGTCTGTGTGCAAAAGAAACAAAGTCACAAAATGATGCTCTCAATGCCAGACAGAAGAGAATTGGAAAGACTTAGTAGTGATTCAGGAACAGACACCGGCGCACCAGAGATCTTCACACCCTGTGCCTCCGTTTGCTCCCTCTCCTTGGCTTCAGTCGAGCGGCCTCATAAAGCAGCAATTGTGGAGCAAAGAGACCCTGCAGGCAACCTACGTCTGTAATGCGCAAAAAAGTCCTCCATCCCTCCTACTCTGGATGAAAGAGCTTGAACGGACCGGAGAAAGGGACGGATTGTCTGAGGAAACGGAATCTGTTTAGGGTAACAATTCCCCCGCTGTGTGTGTTTTGCTGCAAGTGGAAATCTGATATCATTATGAAGACAACAACTTCTGTACAGAGAGTGGACTTCTAATGCATTATGCATGAAAGTCTAGAAGTCTGTGTGTGTGTTTGTGTGTGTTTATTCCTACAGAGAGCAGCCCTCCTTAAAGAATAATCCATATTACGTTACATATAAACACTACACCCTTAACCCCAGGCACGGCCACATAGATTACCAATGCAACACCACTCTGCCTTTTCTTTTTATGACTTCAGGGGCTGTTGTTTCAGAAACAATCAATACATCATCATAATAGTTCAAACTTGCATGCTTAGGCTTTTTCTTTCCTCCAGCAGTCGTCAGCCATGCATGGATGAATGACTGCCACTATGCGCAAGTTTTCTCAGACAGACTCATGGTCCAAATTTTTTCAAAGGAAAGGTCACTGAGTTTGAGTTTCTTGCCTCCCTTGCTGAATCTCATCAGCAGTTTAAAATGTCTTTACGTCATCAGATGTAGCCTGATAGGTTATCACCTGGGTTAGAGAAAGAGGTCAGGGATTATGAAAGGATAAGCGCTCAGAGAAGACACCCCTCATCCCAATAATGCCCCAAAAATGTCCCTACTGTTGGCAAAACAGTGACGCCACCTTTAATAGAAACAGCTTAAATTAAAAGCATTCAACTAGCAAACGACTGAGTGGCTTTATTGTGAAGCATCAACAGGAAATAAGATGTATATCTGTCACCTAGCTTAGTGCTGAGGTCAAGATATAGTATGTTTTGGAAGTTTTGGCCAAGGGGATTATTTTTAAATATTTTAGGGAGTGAGAGCCACAATGAACTGTTAGATGTGGAGCTACAAACGAAGCATTACTGTGGCTTGTAAAACCCTGAAACCCTGAAACCCTTCAACGATTCAGAGGTCAACTACACCTCCAACAAAGCAACGAAATCAAAATAACCCACCATCATTGTTTCTCTGGACTCTGTTGTACTTACATGACCTTGCTGGTATATTAATTTGAACCAAAAGCAGAACAGTAAGTCATTTTTCATTGAATCACTTCTCTCAGTATGAAGGACATCAACAGTTATGGTTATGGTGGGTACTTACTGTAGTGAAATATAATTAGTGGTAAAGTCTCATGACTCCATTTGAACTGTTATTTATGACTTACCCTGCTGTGGACAGTCAGAGAAGGAAACA